AGTTAATGCATACACAAATTATTTGAGACTCATAATGCATTTTTTCCTGTAGGAGTCATGTGATATATTAGGGGTTTTTCAGATATTAATCCATAACAATCATTCTAATGTTATATGTATATAATGTTATATGTATATATATAAGTATATGAAGACTGTAAATTTCTTGAAACTGGGAATCATCCTATACACATTTAAATTTCACTTTCTAGCAGACAGCTTTGCATATGATGGGTCCTCCAATAAACATTCCTTAAACAGTTCATTTTTTAAAGTACCTAATGTGTTAGGGCAGCTGTTTTGGAGTCCAGTTTTAAGTCTCGAAATCCTGGCTCTGCCACCTACAGGATGTAAGTCATGGAGCAAATTATATAATCTCGCTGCACCTCAATTTATTTGTCTATTAAAACTGTGATAATCATAATACCTACCTCATAATGTTGTGGGGAGTAAATGAATTATTACATATAAAATACTTATAAAATAACAGTACTTGCATACCAGGATTCAATGCACATTAAATATTATTAGCTTTTAAGCACATCTCCCCAGCTAAATTATAAACTCTTTGAGACAGAGCCAGTGTCCTATACTTTTTATAATACCAGAGCCTGTATAATTTCTTACATAATATATGCATTAAATATTTATAAAAGTATGTAATAAAAGGAATGAATGAATGATTATATGCTTACAATACTTTCTCCATAAAAAAATCAAATATACACAGGATTGGTAACATTCTAACATTTGTTACAGTAAAAAAAAATGTGATCAGAAATTAAATAAAATTTAAGACTTGTCAGAGAACTACAAGTATAAGTAAGAGGAGAAAAGAAACAGAAATCACTACCAATGGGAAATTCTTATATTTTAGACCCTGGAAGACAGGGACTTTTATCCTATGTTTCTTTCTTTTTTTTTAATTTAATTTTTTATTTTTTTAGATTTACATCCAAATTAGTTAGCATATAGTGCAACAATGATTTCAGGAGTAGATTCCTTAATGCCCCTTACCCATTTAGCCCATCCCCCCCTCCCACAACCCCTCCAGTAGCCCTCAGTTTGTTCTCCATATGTATGAGTCTCTTCTGTTTTTTCCCCCACCGTTTTTATATTATTTTTGTTTCCCTTCCCTTATGTTCATCTGTTTTGTCTCTTAAAGTCCTCATATGAGTGAAGTCATATGATATTTGTCTTTTTCTGACTAATGTCACTTAGCATAATACCCTCCAGTTCCACCCACGTAGTTGCAAATGGCAAGATTTCATTCTTTTTGATTGCCGAGTAATACTTCATTGCGCGCGCGCGCGCGCGTGCGTGCGTGCGTGTGTGTGTGTGTGTGTGTATACCACATCTTCTTTATCCACTCATCCATCGATGGACATTTGGGCTCTTTCCATACTTTGGGTATTGTTGACTGAGCTGCTACAAACATGGGGGTGCATGTGTCCCTTTGAAACGGCACACCTGTATCCCGTGGATAAATGCCTAGTAGTGCAATTGCTGGGTCGTAGGGTAGTTCTATTTTTGATTTTTTGAGGAACCTCCATACTGTTTTCCAGAGTGGCTGCACCAGCTTGCATTCCCAAAATGTCTAAGATGTTTATAACATCATATTGATTATTGAAAATCTAGAATGACATGGCAGGCGATAGGAAGCTCATTAAATACATCATATACTGAGTATTATGTGGCCATTGAAAAGAAAGGAGGGGCTCTAACTACTGCCATGGAAAGAGGAGGCATCATTTTCTTAAGAAAAATCAGGTGTGTGGGTGTGGATAGGAAAAATCTGGAAGGATATGTATCAAGCTATTAATAGTGATTGTATATGGGAGAAGGGGCAGGGATTTTACTTTCTGGTTTTAAATATTTTCATTTGGTTTACATATTAGGAAGTAGCATATAGTTTTTAAAGAACTAAAAACAAAGATATTTAAATTACGATTTTCTAATACTAATAAGGCCATGAATAGTTTTAAATTGTTGGAAAAGTTGGTGTCATTTTGGCTACTGTTTATGATAGAAAAATCAGACTATATATGGAATGTGTGGCTGGCTCAGCCAGAGGTTGCTTTCCCATAGGTGTTGCAGAGAGGTACGTGTGAGTGTCTTAATTTCCTGACAATTACAGTAAATCAGCAATAACGACTACTTTTTCCCCTTTATGGGCCTAGTTCAAGGATTTGTGATTATACAGCCAATATTCTTAAATTTAGAGGTTATTAAATTAGATGAGTAACTAAATTCTCTGAGAAAATAATAGAATCCTTAGAAAAAGGGCAGATTGACAAATTAGTAATTGATCATACCATGGAAATGAAAACTGGTTATTGATTTAATTAGTTGAAATGCGGAGAACACTCATAAGACTTATAATCTACTTAGCTCTTGCTGGTTTTATGATTTTTTCATTCTAGATTCCTGTTCATCCTGTGCCCGATCCCTTAGTTCATGAAGTTCTAAACTTAGCTTTTAAGCACTTTAAACATAAGGAAGGGTAAGTAAAATACTAACTTGGGATTGTTGCTTTTCTCCTAGTCCTGGGTTAGACTGTTTAAGTATAATTTGAACTCTCTCTGATCATTTGTTTTGTTTTTAGAGTTCAAAGCATTTATCTTCCTTTTTCTTTTTCTTTCTTTCTTCCTTTCTTTCTTCCTTTCTTCCTTTCTTTCTTCCTTCCTTCCTCCCTTCCTCCCTCCCTCCCTCCCTTTCTTTCTTTCTTTCTTTCTTTCTTTCTTTCTTTCTTTCTTTCTTTCTTTCTTTCTTTCTTTCTTTCTTTAAAATCCCCACAAAATGCTTCTAGGAAAGTTTGTTTGTCTGTTTTAGTAGGCTTCATGCCCAATGAGGGGCTTGAATTCATGACCCTGAGATCAAGAGTTTCTTGTTTTACCAACTGAGCCAGCCAGGCACCCCCATTGGAAAGATTTTATTAAAATAATTCTTAAAACTGTTGATTGGATTTATAAGAATTAGAAGGCTAAATTTCACGACAAAGTAAAACTCAGAGCTAGATGAAAATTTGTGTGGTTTTTATTATTCTACAGATGACTCTTCAGAAAAAAACTTTGTAACCCTCTGATGAGAAACTTTCAGATTTATGTAAAAGAGAGTTTATAGAAAAATTAAACAGCACATTTGTTCTCTTGTTGTTTCAGATATTCAGGAACCAACACTGGGAATGTGCATATTATTGCAGATTTATATGCAGAGGTGATAGGGGTTCTTGCCCAATCAAAGTAAGTATTTAAATCACTGATTTCAGTTGTATTTTAGAATGCTTCATTGTAATTGACAATGACAGCATTAGATCTAATTTTTTTCATAGTTGTTTTGCAGTCTCCTCCACTTTTTATTACTTAGCTGCTCTATTTCTTAGAGGATTTTAAAGTAATATCCGTACATTAAGTATACAACTTGTTTTCATTTATTTGGGGTTTTCCATAAATGTCTGAATTGAGGAAGTCAGAAAAGTGCCAGGAATAGTCAGGACATTACCTTATTTATTTCTAACTATTCTATAAGAAGTGTTTTTTCACATCCTATTTTGTTTTTTAAGAACTCTACAGAGCTAATAACAACTTTTAATACTTTCTAGTTGAATGGTTTTACTTCTGAGATGGCATCTCAGTGTTTTCCTCCTAATCATTTTATTTAACACTAAATAGAATTTTGGATAGGTAGAAGAGATTCCAAAAAAGAAAGAGAAGATACTAGATGATTCCATAAAGGTGTTATTCATTAGGAGTTACACCCATTGAATTGTCTTGAACCATCATTATAGTAAAGAGTAAAAAAGTTTATCTGTAGTATCTTGTGGTTGATCATAAGACTATGGAAGAGTTTGAATTTCCTTTGTTGCCACTGGGAAATTTGTAAGGTAAAAAATTATCAATTCAGATTTTCTTAGATGTCATTTAAGAAGTGTTTGGTCCTGAAATCATCAGATAAAACCCTTTCTAAATTCTAAAAAGCCAAGTACAATTCTTGTTAATGTTTGCTTCCTGTGAGTGTAGTGGCTGATCATTATTATGAGAAATTTAATAGAAGAGAAAAACCCTTGGATTCTAGTGTTATTGCGATGGGAAGGTTTTTATCCATTGTATATTTTCTTTTTAAAATGCAAAAGAATATATTCGTGGAAAATGGTGTTATATTCTCCAAGACTCAAATGGAAATGGCTGATATTTCCTATCATATATCCATATTTCATTAATACGCAATTTTCTTTTTCCCCTCTGTAGTCAATAACGATTAGAAAATATGCTTCATTTCCCATTTTAACTTTTCAGAAACTGGTTTCCCCCAGTAACATTAACAGTAAAATCTTTAGCTGTTTCATAATAAATAAAGGGGGAAATTCAGTATTTTTGATTATTAAACTGGTAAGTATCTTTTTGCAATGTAAGCAGAGAAGAAACTTAGTAGACTTACCAGTTGTGGTCATTTGAATCCAGGATGGTGCTTACATTTGAAAGCATTTTGATTCTTGAGCTTAGTCACATTGTGTGAGACCGTGTGCCCCACTCCTCTCCTTCAGTTTTTCTCCAGCATAAGGAGAAACTAATTTTAAGTGATGGTAGTCTAAAATTGATTGATTCCTGTCTTTGAACACATTTATAGCCTCCAATCCGTTCTCCATATAACTCAAATTACAGGTTTTATAAAAAGGAATACAAACTGGAGACACTATCTGATTTATGGGGTAGATTATTTGATTTGATTTGACTATGATTATTAACGATTAAATGGTAATGGAGCTGTATTGACGATGTTGTAGGAATAAAGACATCTTATTATATCTTCTTAAGGAACTTCTAACTTTAAAATAAAGGAACAGCAGATTTCGAATAATATCAAATAACTTTATTTCCCTCTGTGCTTTTCTAATAATTTTGATGAGGGTAGAGAAAGGACATAATGTTTATGTAAAGTATCTTTTGATTTCAACCTTGAGTATCATGTGGGACATTAGTGTTTTGAATTCCTATCCACTTATGTATTCGTGTATATAAAAGATTTCAGGCTGTGAGGAAGAAGTTTGTGACAGAATTGAAAGAACTGCGGCAAAAGGAACAAAGTCCCCATGTGGTACAAAGCATCATCAGCTTAATAATGGGAATGAAGTTTTTTCGAGTAAAAATGTATCCTGTAGAAGATTTTGAAGCATCATTTCAGTTCATGCAGGTGATATGCCTTCTCCATTGTGGTGATTGGAATTAGCCTAACAGTGGTTATGCTTGCTCTTCGTGACTTAATAAAGGAAACATATATATATTACTAAAGGAATATATATATATATATATATATATATATATATATATATATATATTCATGGCATTGTTAGTAATTCTTCAGTTCCAGTGTTAAATTGCCAGTGGTGTGAATTTACTTTCTTTTTAAATTTGAGTGTGTTTTGACTTTAGCTTTTTGGTAAAATCGCAGTATTTACAAACTTACCATGATATTAAAAATTCTTAAACCTAATATATACCTCTTTGCCCCTCCAGGAATGTGCTCAGTATTTCTTAGAAGTAAAAGATAAAGATATAAAGCATGCACTTGCTGGTTTATTTGTGGAGATTCTTATCCCTGTAGCTGCTGTAAGTATATTTTAATTTCTATATTGTATGTTAAAAGTACCTTTTTACTGAAGAAGTTGCCACGTGAAATAGTCTTACTTTCCGGTAATTTCATAGACTGTTATGTGGGAAATTTGAATGTCATATGGATATGGGGAAAATGGTTATTAGCCAAATGTCAATAGAGCATTGATTAGCCTTTTAATTAAAAGAATGGGCCCAGGTCCTTAAGATTCAGAGACTGCAAGGAGGGCAGAGTATTTGCAACCCAGCCTCTAGGTAACGGCTGCCTGAAGCAGCTCAGTGCAAAATACTGCATTTACTCGTGGCTTCTGCTTCTTACAATATGGTGGCCATTTTAACAGCCTGTACTGTAACATATATCTTGGAATTTACAGGACTGTCTCGATTTTAAGTGTTCTGTAGTTGCTGTTGATATTCGTCCCACCTGTCAAAATATGTATTCCAAATTATTTAGAAAATATGATTATTATAAATATATTATTTATATAACATAATTTCTAGGGCAGCAGATTTATAGAAGCCTTTCTTGACATAAAAGTAGTGTGTTATTTGAAAATAATTTTGCAGTTACTAGTAACAGCATGCTATAAATAGGATTAAGGGATTTTATAATACTTAGATGCTAGGTTTGTTTCCTGGGGTTTTTGTTTGTTTGTTTTTACCCATTTCAGTTGTTCTGTATGATATGTGATATGCAACTCACTTTCAGTATACTACATATTGCTGCATAAATGATATTCTTTTCATGTATATATATATTATATATATCATCATTTCATTTTAAACTTGAAGTAAAATTGACATACAGTATGCATATTTAAAGTATATAATTTGACATGTGTATGCACATGGGAAACCATCACCATAATCAGGATAATGTACATATCTGTCACACCCTGGAAGTTTCCTTATTTTCCTTTTTAATCCACCCCCCCACCCCCCACCACCACTCACCTCACCTTTGGGTAGTGCAACTATTCATCTTCTTTCTGTCACTCTACATTAGTTTTGGTTTTCCTAGAATTTTATATTAATGGAGTTTTACAGTACAAAGCCATTTTTTGGCTTCTTTTACTCTGCATAATTATTTTGAGTTCCAACTATGTTGTGGAATGTATCAGTAGGTTTTTCCTTTCTCATCGTTGCATAGTATTTCATTGCATAGACATACCACAGTATAGATAACACCACAGTTTGGTTGTGGTCATCTGTTTTGGATCCATTTGTTCCAGTTTTGGGCTGTTAGATATAAAGCCGCTGTGAACATTTATGTCCAAGTCTATGTATGGGACATATGCTTTTATTTACTTTGGGTAAATATCTAGGGATGGAATTGGTGGACCAAATGGTAGCTATATGTTTGATTGTTAAAGAAATTGTCATACAACGTTCCAAAGTTGTTGCATCGTTTTGTATTCCAAGGAGCCGGATGTGAGAGTTCTAGTTCCTCCACATCCTCACCAACACTTCTTTGGCCAGTTTGTTTAGTTTTAGCCATTCTGCTAGTTGTGTTGTGGTGTCTCACTGGAGTTTTAAAATTTGCATTTCCCTAATGACCAATGATTTTGAGCGTCCTGTATTTGCTGTCCATATGTTTTCTTTGGCAAAATGTGTGTTGAAATCTTTTCTTATTTTTTAATATGGAGTTGTTTGTATTCTGATTGAGTTTTAGAGATATATTTTTATGTATCTTAAAAATATGTTTTGGGGACACCTGGGTGGCTCATTTGGTTGAGGGTCTGACTCTTGGTTTTTGGCTCAGGTTACGATCTCCCGGTTTCGTGAGTTTGAGTCCCACAGCGGGCTCTGCACAGCTGGCGGCTTGGAGCCTGCTTAGGATTCTTTCTCTCCCCCTCTGTCTGCCCCTCCCCCACTCACCCTATCTCTGTCTCTCTCAAATAAATAAATAAACTTAAAAAAAAGGTGGACAGGGAGGGGTGCCTGGTTGGCTCGGTTGAGCGTCAGACTCTTGATATCGGCTCAGGTTATGATCTCACGTTTCATGTGTTGGAGCCCTGCATGGGGCCTCGCTCTGACAGCACAGAGATTCTCTGTGCTTGGGATTCTCTGTCTTCCTCTCTCTCTGCCTCTCCCCTGTGCTCACTCGCACGCTCTCTCTCTCAAAAATAAATAAATAAACATTTTAAAAAATAAAATAAAATGAAGTTTTAAAGTCTTAGAAGAAAAAAAAGAAAAGGTAGACAGGGAACTGGAAGCAAAGTGAAAGTTTGAAAATATTAATGACCGTGATTGGCATGATTTTTTTTTTACCTGTCTTGAGTATTTACTTACAGTTAAATGTTTGAGGATTTAAAAAAAAAAATTTGAAGATTCTTTTTTAATGGGTACAAACAAAAGTCATGAATAGAGCTCAGTAGGTAGTGTGAGTCAGATAGCCCCCCACCCCAGGTTTCAGCCAAGTCTGGGGTTTTTATTTTATTATTATTATTTTTTTGATAAAATAAACCTATCATTTATCAAACCGTCAGGTTTTAGTCTATTTTCATTAGTGCATGTATTTCAATTTCTTTTTCTAGAAGTGGTTTGGGTTGCTGCTTCTCTATCCCATATTGTCATTTGTGCTTCCCCCTTGTCTGAAAATCTGTTTTTGCCAGATACCTAACTGGGATTAGGTTGTATTTTTAAGGTAATTAATCAAAAGGAGCAGGTTGTAGGAGGAAAGACCCTTGACGGTCCTTGCGGTCCATGAGTATTGTGTTACCTGATTCTTCTTTTATGCCGTGTTTGTGTTTGTAGTTTGTTTACTAAGGCAGCCCTCATAAAGTGCCTCAAACTAGGTGGCTCAAATAACAAAAATTATTGTCTCACAGTTACGGTGAGACCAAGGTGTTGGTGGGTTGATTCCTTCTGAGGGCTGTGAGGAAGCATCTGTTCTGTGCCTCTCACCTAGTTTCTGATATCTTTGGCATTCCTTGGCTTATAGAATCAGCACCTGAGCTCTGCCTTCATTTTTGCATGGTGTTCTCCTTGTGTACGTCTTTGTCCAAATTGCCTGTTTTTTTTTTTAAAGGATACCCATCATGTTGGAGTAGGGTCCCCTCACCCCAATATGACTTTATCCTAACTTAACCAATTACATCTGCAATGACCAAATGACACCTGCCTTTTCCAAATAAGGTCACATGGTGAGGTACGCTGGGTTAGGATTTCAATACCTGAATTTGGGGTGTGGGGGAGGTGACATTTCAATCCATAACACCCACTGCTGCATATAGCACTCATTCTGTCTGGAACATTCTTGCCTCTTTAATAACCTCCCTCCCCACTTTGCCTGGTTGGACTCTACTTATTCATTCATCACATGTATTGAATGCTTTCTTTGTATCAGAGCCTCGTCTGTGCATAGGGAATGCAAGAATGGTCAAGGTAGGAAAGACACCTTGCTCTTGTAGAGCTATTTCTAGTGCAGAAAACAGCTAGTAAACTAGTATGTAAAATATCTAGTAGGTGGATGGTGATAAGTACTGTGGAGAGATGTACAGTAAGATAGGGGGGTAGGGATTGCTGAAGGGGTAAGGGAGTTGAAATTTTGAATACTGTGATCAGCTGAGACCACCCCCTCGAAGGAGATGGAGATGACTGAGCAGAAGCTAAAGGAACGAGGGAAAAGTCGTGCTGTATCTGAGGGAAGACTTCTTGGGCACAAGGAACCACTGTAGACTCCCTAAAGCACAAACATGCATGATCTGTTCTAGAAACAGCAAGAAAGCTAGCTGGTGCTGCTGGATCCCAGTGCAGGAAGGCAGAGTGTGGAGGACAAGGCTGGAGAGGTTACCTGGGATTTACTGCTCTGTATCAGGGAAGGGATGCTGGATTCAGCTTTGGTGTTACTTCCTTATGGAGTTTTTCTGTCGGGGCCCCTTGTGAATGTGCCCAGAGCACAGAGAATTTCCTCTTGCAGCATCTGTTGCTTGTATCACATACTCATTGCCTGTTCACTTGCTTGTGTTTTCTCAGAACAGGGACCACCTTTATCTCAGCGACTTGACAGTTGGTCATTTGGCAGTTTCTAGTACTTTAGTGAGATACTCGGTGAAGGAGTCACTAATTTCACACCTTAGAGAAAGTGCTCGTAATTTCTGTACAGTTTAATATTTGTGACCATTTTCTTTGTTTTTGTATTATCTTTTTACCTAGGCTGTTAAAAATGAAGTGAATGTTCCCTGTTTGAAAAATTTTGTGGAGATGCTTTATCAGACTACTTTTGAACTGAGCTCCAGGAAGAAGCATTCATTGGTATTGAAAAGCATTTCAAACCTTTACATATTTAATTAGGAGCTGTAGTAATTGATTGCTGAATTGAGGGGAGATTGAAAAGAATTGTAAGAATTGACATTGTAAAATTTCCAAAACGCAACATAAGGGCAAATTTTATACATTTTTCTTGCTCTTTTTAAACCATTCTGTTCTTAATTTTACTGGCTCTACATTTGATAGGTTATTCAGACTTTATTCTAGGTATTTACCTATCTTGACAGGTGCTTTAAGTTATGCATTATACTATGTGGAAGCTTGCATATACTCCTATTAAACCATAAATTTCTTTATTTTACATTATTATTGCACTCAGAAGTATTAGATTACTTAGGAACCATTGTCTATCTAATGACATCATTTCTATTCAGAGATTTAACCACCCACTCCATGTAACTTTGAAGGAGTTTGCTGTAAATTTTTATGCAGCTTGGAGAAAGTGTGGAGAATTAGACAAATACTTGACCACTTAAGATAGAGATCTAATAATGAATAAACACTTATTGTGCCAGGCATTGAACTAATTACATTTGCATTGTTTTACTTTAAACCTCCCAGCCCCGTCTACCATTCTCCAGTCCGTGTGTTAGCAAAGGGAGCCTTGGAGCCCTTAATTATATCCACCCTGAAGTCATGTGCCTGGCAAATAAAAAGCTGAAACTTTGATGCCAGTCTGTGCTTGATCCCAGGGCTTGTGTTCCTAACCACTGTACTCGTTGAGGGAGTGGTGGCTCTAGGGAAAAATAAAAACATGCTCCAACTCAGGGCAATGAGACAGATCGAGGAGTTGTTCTTACAGAAAATTTGCCCCTTATCATTTTTTGTTACGTTACTTTAGGAGACCGTACTTCTTAAGACAAATGGGAAAACTGCCTTTGTTTCTGAGGATATGATTTACAAATCTGTGCTTTCTCATGAAAAATGTTAATTCTCTTTTCCCTATCTCCTATAGGCTCTTTATCCACTAATTACCTGCCTTTTATGTGTCAGTCAGAAACAGTTTTTTTTAAATAACTGGCATATTTTCCTACAGAACTGTTTGTCACATTTAAAGGTAAGACATAATCACATTTCTGACCTGTAGATACTGACTGTAGTGTATTCATTTGTGCGTATATATTGAACAGTGTGTAATAAAACCCTCATTATTACTGGTGTATTAGAAGAGTAATACTTTATCACATTGCTTTTCTTAAATGTACTTTATTCTTTCTGTGGGGAATCACATATTGACATGAATCAACTTTTGATTGAAAATTTAGTTTGTCTTAATGCAAAATTGTACATTTTTAACAGCTGTTTGTTTATATTATCTTAGATCTAACAATATTTGTGCTAAAAACATGCCTTTAGGGGCGCCTGGGTGGCGCAGTCGGTTAAGCGTCCGACTTCAGCCAGGTCACGATCTCACGGTCCGTGAGTTCGAGCCCCACGTCAGGCTCTGGGCTGATGGCTCAGAGCCTGGAGCCTGTTTCCGATTCTGTGTCTCCCTCTCTCTCTGCCCCTTGCTCTGTCTCTCTCTGTCCCAAAAAATAAATAAACGTTGAAAAAAAAAATTTTAAAAATAAATAAATAAATAAATAAAAACATGCCTTTAGAGTTATAGAGTGTTAATCTTATAGAATCCTCCGGATATTATTTTGTGTTTCATTTTGAGAAAATTCAATCATGTTGGCTCAAGTCTGAAAATGAAAAAAGCCTTGATAATGAAATGTCACTAAAAGCACATTTGATGAAAGTGTGCCAGCAAAACCTAAGAGTGTGATATTGGATCCACAGGGATACAGAATCTCCTGAAATGATTCTGACTTGAATCAAGGGATAGTTGTTGCTAACACTATTTGGCACGCCCACGTCCGGTCTCTCTTTAGTGTTGTAAACAAGACTGTGAGATAGAAGGATCTTTATCTTCCCAGGATACTCTGCTAGCAGGATCTAACAGGATCCGCTTTTCTTCTGTGGATAGGAGCTCAGTTAATGTCTGACACGGGACATGGGAATATTCCTCACCTGCATGTCATGGAAATGCTTGATTTGAACACTGTTTTAATGCCTAGATGAGTACATTTAAATATTTGCTTACAAGTTCTAGAAGCATGACAGACATGGCATCTTATTTCCTGTCATTCCTCTAAGTTAGGATAATACTGGAAACCTTATACTTTGAAGACAATGAAAGCGAGGCACAGATAGATTAAATGACTTTTCTCTGACTCTATAGCTCACTGTGGTATTTGAGAAATAGTGGTATTTGACTTCTCATTCCCACTTTGAGAATGATCCACTGGAAACATTATCCTATATATCTTTTCCGTGACTTTATACATCATTCCCAAAAGTGCCTTGATTACTTAAAAAGGTATACAGAAAATAAGTCTTTGAGAAACATTTTTGGCTCTTTTTCTCCTAGATACTCATTGATATTATTCATATTTGGATGAGACTTGATATACTTTCTTTCTTATTTATGAAAATTCCCAGGACCAAATCAAGCTTATTAAACTCTTTATGTCATGCAACCCGAAAATAAGCTTTATTTAATTAATTACATTATACTGTTTTCTGTCCTCATTTTGATGATTCATACCGATACAGGTACTAAAAGGGGGAATTGATAATTTTCTGGGTAGTATGATTTTCCATACTTCCAATAAAATATTTTCAGACTCGCATTTAAGTGTTTTCTGAAAGGTTGCTTTGTTTCATGACAATCCATACTTTTCTGTTGCTTGTTGGAATTGTTGTATATATATATGTTTCCACCTAACATATTTGCAATTCTTTCGCAGCACCTTAACTTTTATTTTTTGTCTTAAGGCTTTCATTTGAAATGCTGTTTTCTTTGAACCCTTACCTCCTGTTAAATATCTCTGGCATATTGTCCATTTTAATTAATGGCAATGTCGCTCTGCCAGGCTCAAGGAGATAAGAGCCACCTTAGCATGAATATTTGGAATATAGTTGTCTTGGCCATTAACCCTTAACTTACATTAAGGCTCTATTCAGCAGAAATTTTACGAATTGGCTCCTGTTTATTAAGTTTTAGATACTGTGGCTACACTGCAGAGTTGAGGTAAGGCATGGAGTATTCAGTAAAAAACCTGACGCTAGTTATCTGTTGCAACAGATATAATTGATTTGCTATATATATATATATATATATATATATATATATATATATACACACATATATATATACATACACACACATACACACACACACACACACACACACACACACACACACACACACAGGAAAAACTGGTTCAAGATAAAGGCCTAAAGTGATTCTGTTTTGACATGCAAGAAACCTCATGATTTCAAAAAAATCCATAACAAGTTTTTACTTACTAGACCTATTACTTCTTAAAGCTGATTCTTATTAATACCTCTATATACTAGATGCTTAAATACAATCTCTCATTTAATTCTTACTGTAAGTGAGGCTGAAAGAAGATAAATAAGTAACCCACGGTCAGGGGGCCAAAAAGTGATAGAGATAGGTTTGCATCTAGATCTCTTCAGCTCCATAATGTTTGCCCTTTGAGATCCACCTGCTATCTGTTAATGGACTATAAGGAGTTTTGCTGTACTAGATATTTTCAGACAATATCTGGCTCTCATTCTGGGATATTAAAAAAGGCATTATTCTCCAGAGTCATAAGAATAAATAGAATCTTTAATATTGTACACTTTTTAAAAAGTTACCATATCAGTATTTGAAGGTGGTGACCACGGAACATGGGCTTTTGCCCCATCGGCCCATAAATAGCATGAGAAAACATCCATTTGAATTCACAGAAGATGTCACATCTGTCATTTTTGTCCTTAAACAGAATTTGGTAGTTTTCCTATTTCCCTATCTTTTTATCAGTCGAGGTTATTATGTGGAAAGTGATTGTAAGGTTTCTGAAGAATAATTAGAGGGGGTGTGGGGGGGAAATAATAAGAGTAGTGGAGTTCAGATAAAAATAATTTGAAGGTTGTTTTCTATAGCGCATGCTTATTTTCTTCTAAAAATTCAAACTTGCTAGAACTCGAGTGCAGTGCTTTGAGAGGAAAATTTAGGTACTTAATAATTTAAATATTTTCTCTTAGTTTAAGGATTATATAGAATGTATCCCAAGTTATAGGATTTTTTTTTTTCCTTTAGTGTTTCTGGCCACTGTCTTAGAAATTTCAAATTTCTTCTAAATAGAGGCCTTGGTGAAGAGCTGTCTTGTTTTGTGCTTATTTTCATCTAACATGCATGTGCTGTGTCTCATGTTTATGTTTGCTGTCTCACATTGCTTTATTTAGATGCCATCTAACAACAGTATCAGAAAACAAATAGAAACACTCCAGGTGAGTTGTGTTGATGTTACAAAGTAAAATATTGCTTTATCTCCTTTAAGTGTGGCTTTTTTTTTTTCTTTACCCATTGTTGCATTGCATGTCTAATGTATTTATTCCAGCCCGCTTCTCCTCTTGTAAAAGAAGACTAGCACACAGCAGGGACACTGTACATGTTTAATATTAATGTCATCCCAAGAAGATGAATTTACGAGCTACAAGTGATCATGAATGTTGATTCTTAACCAAAATCCTCCATTTTAAAATATCCTGTTTAATTTGTTGTTTAAGTAACATTACATTAGTGACACTGTTATAGACGAAATTAAAAAAAAAAAAAAAACATTTTCCGATGCAATTAAGGAGACAGCTTAGATTTTAAGTATGATTTTTGATGCATGACTTTTTAAAACTTGTCTCCTGTTGGTTTGGATTTTAAGCAAAATATTTTGGGTTTGGTTCATGGTAGAAAAAAGGGAAAGATACATTAAAATCATTGCGGCCAAAGAACATACTGGACATATCAAATGTTTATTGGATTCTAATGTATGTAACAATCTGCTTATTCGTATTATACCAAAATGGTGACTGGGGAATTATCTACTCTTTGGGTAAGGCTCAGATCATTTTAGGATGTTTTTATTATTCAGACATGTTTGACAGCATTTCAGTGGCTGAATACACAATAATTGATGTATCATTTTTCATCTTGGCTTTGTTCAGTGTAGAATAAGTCTGCTTTGTAAACATAGGAGTCCATCTTGGAAAGTTTGAAAATCAAGTTTTTTTTCATTCTAGATATCTCAGCCCTTCACGTAAAATAATCCAAAATACTTTATTAACCATTTATATGAAGACATTTTTATGTGGAATTGGACTTAAATATTTTTAATATATAACATGTATTAATTTGTATCAGTTGTATTTTGAAAATATAATTTAATGTGAAAATACTATTTGGAATGTACATCAAACTAATTGAACATTTTTTGATACCTGATATCTTGCATTTCAATGACAGAAAAAAAAAGTTACATGATAGAAAAGAAAGTACTATAAAAAGCTTGGTTGTTACGAGTAAGCTGCACACATTACTTACTACTTTATATGTTACCTTAGTTACGTTAGTAATTAATGACTACTTGGGGAGTGTATTTGAAATTTGGAATCATTATGATTTGGCAATAGAAGTAGGGACTGATGTTGAGACACTGACCAGCAGAATAATTGGTATTCCATTCTTCATTATATCAATTCTTCACATAGATGAGCAAAATTCTATTTTCTGATCGCTGTTTCTTTTACTTGTCATTTGTTATCTTTTTGTATTGCTTTTAATCATACATAGTTGTCCATTTTTCTATTTCTCAAGAAAAAGTAAAATAGAATGGCTAAATTACTTAGAATTTTAAAACTCTGTTTTGTTTGTTGCTGTATATAAAATAATTACTCAACAATAAGAAATCCCCCAAACTAAATTAAATGAATGCTGATTTATGACAGTCAATGCATCCTACAACCAATCAACATACACAAAGAATTTCTCCTAATAAAGTTGATCATGAGCTACATTTTCAAAATTCAGCATTAAATCTCATTACATGACCGGTCATCTGAGAACCTTACTTTTTATAATAAGTGGTATGAAGAAAAAGTTTGCTGATCAAGTTGTGATTGAAATGAAATAATTTTCTTATTCTAAATGATAATAATTTAAGTAATGTCTAAGTAAAATTTAAAGGTATAACAACATTTATGGAGCATTTAACATGTGCCAGCAGTGTTCCGAGTGTTTTTCACACAAAAACTTCCTTAATGTGTGAGGTAGGTACCATTTTATCTCCATTTTTAAAGGTGAGGAAATTGTGGTACCAAGCGGTATAAAAGTACCCCCAAAGGTGAGGTGTGGCCAGTCATTCCTGACTTCAGAGTCCTTGCTCTTCCGTAGTCCCTCTTGTAAGGATAATCACTCAGCAATAGTTTGCGTTATTTCATAAATGCAAGTACCCATAATAACCTTTGGTGGCCTAAGTTTTAACTAAGTTTGGACTGCAGTGAATTGCTCCAAAGATAAGGAATCCTTCTATCATGATGTCAATATTGTGTGAACTGTTTACTGCCAAGTAGGTTGATGTGTGTATAAGATAGGAGTTCTTTCAAGTATGAATATCCTTCTGATATTTTTACTAAAGGAATGGCTCAGAATTACCTCTCAGCTTTCTGTACTTACTATATACCGAACGTATATTTACATATTTAAACCTGCTTTAGATTGAATACAGAGAGGAGTGGGATAAGGGCTTTTAGTTGTTGGCAGAGATTGTATTTAATCTTAAATGATTGCAAGTAGTTTAATAAGTTTATTTTTTATTCTCTCTTGTTTTTGAACAGAATAAAGATCCTAAAATGTCTCGAGTTGCACTGGAATCTTTGTATAGATTGTTGTGGGTTTATGTAATTAGAATAAAATGTGAAAGCAACACTGTAACTCAGAGGTGAGTGCCTTTGCATTAAAATGGATTTTATAAAGATCTTGGTAAAAAAATCACACTGATGGCATTATAGTTAACATTTTATAAAGACCTTGAGAAGGAGAATGCATTTTCTTGACCTCTTATGAAGAATAGGAAGAATGTTTGTTGATGTCATTATCTCTTTATGACTCAGTCTTTTTTTTTTTTCATAGTCGTCTTATGAGCATAGTGTCAGCACTTTTTCCGAAAGGTTCACGTAGTGTGGTTCCTCGTGATACACCTCTCAATATATTTGTGAAGATTATCCAGTTCATTGCTCAGGTAAGTGCCTTACCTCACAATAACCGAAGTAATTTGGAGTTTTAAAATTTGTTACACATCTAAAAGCGTGATAACAGAACTCAAGGGGACCCACAGGTGGAGCACTTAATTTAGGAAGGGTCAAGGAAGTATTTCTCAGTCCTGCTGTTGCTCCATTGACTAATTACTTCCTGAGTATCTCCAAAGGTTTTTGGCAAATTGTTTTCTCATGCATTCATCTAGTTTCTTAGGTACAGATACTAGAATCCACAGTAGCTAGTTGAACCCAAAGGGAGCTTTGAAGGAATATAGATGGTTCACAGAATCGAATCACTGGTAGGACTATGAATGACTAAGAGGATATTGCAGAATTGGGCTATCGAGGTAGCTGTGGCCTTTGCCACAGACAAAAAGCTGCCAAATTAGGAAGTCATCACAGTTCTTTCAGAATCCTGCTGCTGCCATGGTCCCCACTAGTAGAGGATTCCTTCCTTCCTGTCCTCCTCCTCTTCCTCCTATACGTCAGTTCCCAAAGACTCACATGAGTATACCAGTTGGTAGGGTCTAAATCACATCCTAAAGCCCACTGCTCTGAGGCATTCTGAGAAATACAATTTTAGCTTTCTAGTCTCTACTAGTAAAGGAAGGTTTATTAGAAGGGGATTAAACAGGTGCTGAGCAAGCAGATCCAGGGTTTTGGTCACATTCCCTTTGGGGACGTCAGCCCTGGAAGAAGCATAGGTAAGGTTACTTCATCAGCTAAGGAAAATGCTTTGATTCCAGAATATTCATTGTGGTCTCTTTGAAATAAAACTGTGACAATTTAGATGATCTGTAATGTTATTTTTAACAGTAAAGAAATAAGGAATATTTAAACAAAATGAATACATTTCTATTTACGGCAGCCCAGAACTAATGATAATTGGATGGATATAAATGTGTCGGTAAGGTGAATGAAAGCAAACTGTGCTTTAGATCTAGTGTTTAGTGGGGTGCCTGGGTGGCTCAGTCGGTTGATCATGTGACTCTTGATTTCAGCTCAGGTCATGATCTCACAGTTTGTGAGTTCGAGCCCCATGTTGGGGGCTGAGCTGACAGCATGCTTGGGATTCTCTCCCTCCATCTCTCTCTCTGTCCTTCCTCCTCTCTCTCTCTCTCTCTCTCTCAAAATCTCAAAATAAATAAATAAATAAATAAATAAATAAATAAATAAATAAACAAACATTAAAAAAGAAAAAGATCTAGTATTTACAAAACTTTTGCCATTGGCTCACATCTCTTTCCTTTCTCTTGCCCTCGGATCTTGTCCGCCCCCTTGGATACCAACACTCCATGAAAACTATGTAACTCCTCTCAGACATCAGCTAATCTTACTGATCTTCTTTTTCCTTGGAGATTTCCTTCCTGGAGACCTATTCTTACTGTCCCTGTGTGAACTCACCGCTCGCTAGGCCTGCCGCATGCCTGTTGTTTCGGGACTCCCTTTTGCCATCATTCTGGGAATTTCTTCACTTAGATTTTTGAATATGATTTTGGTAAATGAATGTTTAAAATGTTTATCCTGTTTGTTGGGGCATTAAATCATTTGATAAATAATATATTTATAGTCATTTTTTAAAAATCTTAATTCATACATATTTTTCTTTTGTCCACCTAGATCTTACGGATACAAACCTGGTGCCATTATATGTATGATTCTTAACATGATACCCAACATATAGTAGTAGAAAGTTATAAAGATGTCTTGATTGCTATTTTTTTCTAGGAACGTTTGGATTTTGCAATGAAAGAAATAATATTTGATCTTCTCAGTGTTGGAAAATCTACTAAAACTTTCACCATTAATCCAGAGGTAAAAAAATTATTATCCTATCTCATAATCTTTTTATTTAAACTTTTTTTTAGAGCAGTTTCTGGACTCAGAACTCTCAAGCTCAAATCTCTAGTTAGAAGCTTTACTTATAATTACTAGTGTGATGATCTAGGACCAATTATTTCACCTTTCTGATAGCCAACTCAATTTTAGCAGTAGTTTCAAGTAGGGTGAAAAATTATCAAGGGAGGATGTTTTCCAGATGAGTCAGCGTAGCTGACTTCTAAGGTTGTGACATGAGCTCAGGTTTCATTTATTAATATCCGTATCAGATTTTTAAAAATAAATATCATTTACTTTACATTTATTGAGCACCAAAAATGTGTCAGGCACTGTTGTAGGTGTTAGAGACAACATGGGCAAAAATCCTTTTCCCCAGAGGGAGATTGATAAAAATAAAAAGGCAAAAGAATTAAATATTAAATATTTCCTACTTCTGTAGCCCTGTTATTCACTTAGTAAACCCTAACTCACTCATTAGACATTACATTTTTAGATTGTTCAAAAGATTTTGCAAGTAACATTGGAGAATATAAAAAGGTTATCTCTTTATTTCTTTAAAATTACTGTGCTGGTCCTTCTCATAATCAAATCCTAAAACATACATTTATGTAGTTAACAAAGAAGTTGGAAAGTTGTTGAAGCTTTTCGTTTGTAGGATTTTTAAGATACATGAATAATTATTTCTAGGTATATACAGTGAGCAGAAATGAGAAATGAGTGTTTTTATAGATGATATACTGAATGTGGTTTCCAGCATCAAAATCATGTAATGAGATTTTCTTGAACATCCATTTTCAAAAACGTCTTCTCCCATTGAATAAATTTATTTCTGAATATAATTTTTTCCCTCACTGAAGCTCTTACGCTAGGAGTAAAAGAGTGGGAGTTCTGTGTTTTGTTGTTCTTTTCTTTTTTTTTTCAACGTTTATTTATTTTTGGGACAGAGAGAGACAGAGCATGAACGGGGGAGGGGCAGAGAGAGAGGGAGACACAGAATCGGAAACAGGCTCCAGGCTCTGAGCCATCAGCCCAGAGCCTGACGCGGGGCTCGAACTCCCGGACCGCGAGATCGTGACCTGGCTGAAGTCGGACGCTTAACCGACTACGCCACCCAGGCGCCCCTTGTTGTTCTTTTCCATGGGCTTACTCTGTTAGTATTATCGTCAGTCTCCATTTTCTCTTCAGAATCTTTTTAAGCTTGCGAGAGCTAGTTTAGTTAAAGCCAGAAAAAAAAATATCCATTAATCCATTTAATCAAACACAAGCAAATTGCAACACACCAAAAGAATGAGTACGTGTGGGTCCTTCTGTGAAACCCAGTACATTATGGAGCTTTCCCACTTCTTCAAGATGTTTTCTGTGACTATGTGACATGACCATGTGATGTTTAGACTGAGGGAGGGCACCAGTACTATGTTGTATATAAAGATGAGGAAAGTTTAAAATCTTAATCTTATTTAGATTAAAAAAAAACCATAAATAAAAGTTTTATTGTCTTCCTGTATTCCAGCGAGCTATCTTGCACATCCATGGGGATGCACACACCTACCTTAGAGACCACTGGCGTAGGTCAGAAAAAATGGCAGCTTGGGCGGAGACAGTGGTGGTGCAGATGGAGAGAAGAGTGCCAACTGAGAAAAGAAACATTGAGAAGGGACCTTGTTTGAGGGGAAAGTACATTTGGCTTGAATGAGTCAAACCTGAGACATCTTTTTGACATCCAGGTAGAGATGTCAAGTGGGTCTGAGGGTCCGAGTTCAGAGAAATGAGGCTTAAAATTGACAGGTGATGTGGTGTGGGTGCTAACTGAAGCCATGTAGATACATGAAGTTGCTTTGGGAGAGAAAACATGAGGAGAGGAGACGGTAGCCGAAGACCTCGTCTTGAAGCAGTCTAACATTGGCCCTGCGGCTAAAGGAGGCCAAACCTGAAGTGCCAGCAGAGATGACTCAGCCAGCCATGGCACAGATGAATCAGAGGAAGGAAGTGTTTCAGGAAGAGAAGGAATAGTTGACAGTCCTGTGCTGCTGAAAAGTCAAACAGGCTGCAGGCAAACCGACCACTCTTTTGAGCAGAATGGTCACTGATAAGTGAGAGTTGCCTCAGGAAAACACTATGTGGGGGGGGGGGGGGGGGGGGGGGACTTGCTTCATTAAGATGAGCATAGCGAACAGCAGGTAACAGAATGTCCCCGGTGGAAAGGAAATGTTGAAGACACAAGCAAGAGAAGGGGTCATTGGTGGTGTACCATTCCCATTCCCCGGAAAGCAAGAGCAAATGGAATTCTAACAACCAGGAAGCCCAGTGCCCCCTAAGACTGTCATAAGATCAAAGGAGAGGGAGAAGAGGTGTTAGTTACCATAGTGAGAGACTGAGGACAGTTGATGGTTTTTTTCTTTCTGTGAAGTAGGAGATCTGTCATCCGCCTAGAGAGGGGAGGGGATGGTAGGAGGGTAGGACTGCTGAGGAAGGAAGGAAGGAAGGAAGGAAGGAAGGAAGGAAGGAAGGCAGGAAGAGGTTTGAAATTTTTATAGAGAACAAGGTCAGCTTGACTCCTTGCAAAGGGGTACGATTTGACCCGGAATTGAATAATACAAATTGTGATGCCCTCAACTGTCAGTTGAAACAATGGTATCAAGAAAGGGGTGTCCTCCCCTGGCCTTCCCCGTGTTAATTGACGAGGTGTTTTTAACAAGAAAAAGGATATTTTCTGACCTTCTGATTTCATTCTGAAACTTTTTTTTCCTGAAGAGAATGAACATAGGCCTGAGAGTCTTCCTTGTAATAGCAGACAGTTTGCAGCAGAAGGACGGAGAGCCACCGATGCCAACAACAGGGGTCATCCTTCCCTCAGGAAACACTCTCCGTGTAAAGAAAATTTTTCTCAATAAAACGTTGACGGACGAGGAAGCAAAAGTCATAGGTTGGTGTTAACTCAGCCAGACAATTTGCTTTGTGATACAATTTAATATTCCTTTGGAAACATTTATGATCAAATCTAAAATGAATATATTTGTCTAGTGTGGTTATTCCAGTAGAGAGTGATAGAAAAATGAATACAGGTTTGATAATACCTCTGAGTTTTCATATGAAGAGTCTTCCAGTTTGGCCTTTATTTTCTTACATGATACTGTTCACTGCCTTTTGTACTTCCTTCAAAGTAATTTTAGTTCCGTGCTTAAGTTTTATATATTCTGTCCAGTACACTAACGATGATCGTTAGGGAGAAGAGTGTATCACAGTTGAAATTCCTTTCCTTGGTGACACCAATAAGCTGATGCCATTTAAAGATAGGCTTTTATTTTTTATGGGAAGTAAGTATGACTGTTCTTTATCTAATTTCTGACATTTTGTAACCGTGACGTTTTTTCTCTAGGAATGTCAGTGTACTATCCTCAAGTGAGAAAAGCATTAGATAGCATTCTCAGACATTTGGACAAAGAAGTTGGGAGACCAATGTGTATGACTAGCGTGCAGATGTCCAATAAGGAGCCTGAAGATATGATTACGTACGTAGGAAGCTCTTTCCCTTCGTTGCCATTTCAGTTTTCATAAAAGGGCACACGTGATTGATTCTTGCTTGCTCCCTTACTCTCTCCTTTGCAGCTGCCCCATATTGCTCCCTGCTGCGGGTGTTGATATAGCAAATCCTTCCGCCTGCTCAGTTGTATTCTTCGAAGTGCTATCAAACTAGCATAAGTAGCAGAGGTCATCCTGGATCTGTTTAGCTGTCAGTGACGAGGCCCTATACTCATTCCATGACCGATAGATAAATCCGACTTACCCTTGATATGTGTGGATGCAGTTGTCTTATTAAGTCAAACACCTACTCTTATTTCCAGAACCCCAATAAACAAAAAAGAAAACGTGAAAATCTCCTGGTAACAAAAGGTACAGAGGGGAATAACGGAAGTAGTGTTTTCAAGACAGGGCCTCAGGCCCCTGGGTCACCAGGCTTGTCGCTGCTTGCCGTCCGGCATCTTTTTTCCTTGATGTTAGGGACTTTCTCCTCGGGAGGATGTATTGATTATATGGCAGTAACTTGTTTTATTTGCTAGTCAGTATCCACATATCCTGTAATAAGGCAGGACATTTTTTTTTTTCAATATTATTGTCCGCATCACAGGTTTTAGAACACCAAACTGGATATTTGATCTCTCAATTTAACTAATATACAGTTATTGTATACTAGCGTCTACTAATGTCTCCGAGAACTTCTCCAGTGTTGACATTTTTTTCCCCCCTCTGCATCACTTCCTCTGGAAAATCTACGTCACAACCACTTCCTTACTGTGTGAATGAGTCTGCCCTCCCTGGGCTCCTCTGGCTGTGTGCATGGAGTCTGCTAACATTCCCTGCCGGCTCTTTCCTCTGTACCTCCTGTAAAGTTTCATTCGAATTTCACTCACAGGGGTATCACTTTTCCTTTCTCTGCTGCACTTTAGTCTTTATTGGCCAGTTTCTTCCCTTGATTATCCATGTTTGCAAAGTATCACCTGAGTTTTATCGCTGGAGACCAGGAGGCAACATAGTTACACTTTGCTGTCTGTGTGAACAAGTCACAAATGTGCAGTGACCAATCACAACAGACTTGGGAAAAGTGACATGATTGGGGTGCCTGGCTGGCTCAGGTGGAAGAGCAAACGATTCTTGGTCTCGGGGTCTTGAGTTCGAGCCCCATGCTGGGTGTAGAGATTACTTTAATAAATAAAACTTAAAAAAAAAAAAAGTGACACAATCAGGGATTATGATGCACATCTGTTTATTTACATAGTGATTTGCAGGGAAACTGGTATTATTTAATCAACTCGTTGGAACTGAAATTCATGCATATTGGAACCATCTGAAGAGAACACTGACTATATAAAATCTCTAAGAGTAGGTAGCAAGTCTTTTGCCACTATAAAGAATACTGACCCCAGTACGTTAAACGTCCAAATTCTTTTCTACATGAGAATTTTTTAGCCCACCTTAAGAACAATTTGGATAAAATAAACTAAGATCCTCATCTTGAAATATAGACCAAAATAAAAACAAAAACCAGGGTGTTAAGAGATTAGATATTTAAAGTAAAAATTAAAAAATCATTGAATAACTAGAAGAAAATATAGTAGAAATAAATTGTATCAAGCCTCTGGAGGAGCCAAGATTTTCAAAATTGACATTAATTCTGTAAACATTTAAATAGGTGTATTTGTGTGTGTGTGTGTGTGTGTGTGTGTGTGTGTGTGTGTATTCTGAAAATAAAATGAAAAGAACAGACAATACCAACAATAGAATATGAGAATGTCTTTTTTAAGACCCTCATTAATGTATAATAATAAATGAAAAAAATTATTTTTGTTGGGGCACCTGGGTGGCTCAGTTGGTTAAATGTCTGACTCGATTTCGGCTCAGATCATGATCTCCTGGTCGTGAAGCAGAGCCCCACCCTGGGCTCCACGCTGAGCGCAGAGCCTGCCAAGATTCTCTCTCTCTCTTCTTCTGCCCCTTCCCTGCTTGCTCTCTCTCTCTCTCTCTCTCAAAAAAAATTTTTTTAATTAATTTTATAGGTTCCTAAAATAACCAATACTTGGTTATTTAATAATCTCATTGTTACTTATTATGATTTAGTAATTAAATAGTCCTTATTCGGGTGCCTGGGTGGCTCAGTTGGTTGAGCATCTGACTTTGGCTCGGGTCATGATCTTGTGTCTGTGGGTTCAAGCCACAGCATGTGTGTTGACAGTTCAGAGCCTGAGCCTGCTTCCAGATTTCCAGGTCTCCCTGTTTCTCTGCCCCTCCCCTGCTCATGCTCTCTCTCTCTCTCTCTCTGTCAAAAATAAATAAAACATTAAAAAATTTTTAAATATTCTTTATTCAAGGTTAGATATTAATTTAATTTAATTTAATTTAAAATAATTGTATTCCACATAATTTACTTAAATACAATTTATTATTTAAACATAATCATTTCTGTAGTTTTCTAATTATTGAAAATCTTTTTGCTTGCTAGCTATATTTTCTTTCCTGTTATCTCTTTATTCTTTTGTCTATTTATAAACTGATAATTATTTGCTGGGTTTGTATGAATTCTTTTTTATAGTAAATACATTAAGCTTTTTTAGGGGGAGGGGACTCCTACTTTCTGTAATTATTTTTCCAAGTTTGCTTTCATTGCCTAACATATGTAATAAGCGTATTAAATCCTGTTGTATATTTTTCAGAGGGGAAAGAAAACCCAAAATTGATTTGTTTAGGACTTGTGTTGCTGCTATTCCAAGGCTGATTCCTGATGGTATGAGCAGAACTGACCTCATTGAATTGTTAGCAAGGTAACTGAGAATCACTCTTTGCTATGTTAATTTTTACCTCTTTCAATCCCTTTAAACTTCGAATACACTCCTGTTACTGTTGTCACTAACAGAGTAATAAGGACACGTTCAGTACTTTACTTGATCCACTTTCTAAACTTGCATTGTGTCTTTTGTGTTTTGTGAACACATTCTCCCACTCATTTTTAACTTTTAAAGTTCTTTTGGATTCCTCTCTACAAATCCTACTTTTCGACTTCCTATCTTTCCTTCTAGTGTGTTTCTTAGGATTTCGATAACATGTTATTCCTGAATAGATGTGTGGTGATGCCCATTAGGCAGTTAACTGCCGTGTTAACTCTTGAAGCCATTTCTAGAGCTCGTTTTCACTTACTTTTCCTATTGTGGAGCCCGCAGGGTTCAAGTTTTTGCTTCTGTTTCCTCTGTTGGGTTTGTCATAGCTTTAGAGAGTAAGAAATAACATGACAACCAAATGTAAATACTTGCTTCCAAAGCTAATTCTAAGTTGAGGGGAAGGCTTGTTGGAAGCTGCTTTGTCGATGTACGTAGGGATTCCGTAGGTAAGGGGTCAGCAAGCTGCTTCTGTAAGGATGACATAGTATTTTAGGATTTGCAGGTCATATGGTCAGCATCACAGCTGCTCCTCTCTGCAGTGCAGGCCAAAAACAGCCACGGACCTCATGGAAAGGAGGGGGTGTGACCGTGTTCCCATGGTACCTCATACATTCTGTCCCTTGAGCCATGGTCTGCTTGCCCCCACTCTAAATGAAAAGCCAGGTGTAGTGACTGTCACAGAGCAGTGATACTTGACTGTACTGAAAGATGTTTACTCCCTGCCAAGCACTTAACACGGACTTAAGTTAAATTCGCCGTGAACAGTTAATAGACTTCTCTAGCAACCCCTTTGACCTCCTCTGCGAAAACACCTAGCACCGCACACAGCCATCACTATCCTGTCCTCAACCTTTGTAGGTTGCCATCGACATACAGAATGGCATTTGTCTCTATTCAGGATGACGAGGAGAGAAAAGGAGTTACTTGGAGATTTTACACCATGAGATAAATTCATCCCTTTGCACTCTCTTAATTTTTTGCTGTGAATTGAAGAGTTGCAAAGTTCATGTCAGCGTTAGGGAAGGAAAAGAGGTGTAATGATTTGTAATGTTATTCTTGGGAAAACAGTAAACAGCTCTCACTCAGTTGCACTCTTTCTACTCGCCCTAATTTAACTCGCCTGCACATTTGTGGCTTAATGGTCCCGTATCCCCCGCCAAAATGAAACTCCCTCTACAAGGGTCAGGGATGGAGGAGCCTGGTGAAGGGAGCAAACATCTGAACAGTAAATGACAGCTTTGCAACTTGATTTACTTTGCATCCTTTTCCTGTGATATTAATTAACTAATTAGCTTACTTCAGCAGAAAGGAAGATTCTGCGTTCTGCTCTCTTTTGTCCCCCATTCTGATCATTTGGAATTGCAATGTCTAAATCTTGTTTTTGTTTGTTTTTAAAGCAAGTAAGCAAAACAAAGATGCGTTTGTAGACCTGTATGCTATGTCTAAGGAAAGTTAATTCTTCTGCCTTAAATTAGCCAGGCCACCCTGTTGTTCTCTACACAGTGGTGAACTCATACGTGTATAGCATGAGTTACACAGATAGGTGTAAGATGGGCATGAAGATTTAAGGGATGTTGAAATAACCTTTAAAGTCAGCATCGTGGAGACAGTCACTGTGCCTCCACAGTACCTCCCTTGGTGCCGCTATCAGAGACAGAACGCTGGGCTAGAGATCCTTAATCTGATCCCCTGTGGTGGCTCTGACGGGCTGCTCTCACTGCTGCCACTTCGTGGGGCTAACTGAAGTCTGTCTAGCTGTAGTAAGTTTTCTCTTCGGTCTCATTGCCGGTTGAAGGTTGGCTTAGTGAAGACCAGAACTGAGTTCAGCAGGGTGAAGACTGTGACATCTCCTTTCACCTAAAGCCCACGGCTTTCCTCCTCTGTCCGTGAGGATGACTCCACCCTCGCAGCTTCCTAAGCATGTAGTTGTGGCACATGCTTAATATCACCTATTAACCTTACTCATTCAAGCTGTTTCCAACACTGATGCATGTGTTTTGATGGTCAGTCGCTAAAGTAATCCTGTTCAGCCCCAAATCAGAAACTCCTGCCCACAGACTATCACATATTGGTAGCTTCACTACTGGGGCCATCTTTTATGGTTTTCTTACTGATCGTTCTCTTTATGTTCTGGTAAAACCCATTAGCTCATATTATGTTCATGTCCTCCGATTGTTTTGGTATCTCTAAAAGGTAATTTTATACAGCCTCTTCTCTAATTTGCTTAGATTTAAACTCCCTTTAGGGACTTCCGTGTTAGATCAACCTTTTTCCCCTCAGGTGCACTCCATTTATATTACTGCAAATTTACTCTCATGCTCACCTTCAAGAATTATCTCCGTTAACTTGATTTCATCTGGGTTTATTCTATTTTCTTGTTCACAATCGGCCATCTTATAGTTTAACTGTAACCTCAGCAGCATGAAAAGGACAGAGACAAATCATATTCTTTCCAGTGATAGTAAAGGACTACATAAATGTGAAATAATGCTTAGATATTATATGAACAGATGTAATTTTTGACTACAAGAAAACAGCATTTTAAGGATTAAAGAATTTTTAAAATGTAATTCTGATATGCTGATCTGTATTTTTTCAAGTGCATTTTCATTATGATCAAACTTTCCTCAAGTTTTTTAAAAACACCAATATTAATAGTTTCATATGTGAATTTAAACACGAGAATAACCTAAGGGTGAATATACACAAAAAGGGAACATTGGTTCCCATCCTCATACTCCTTACAAACCACGGAGGAGGACATCTTTTTTTAAGTTCTTAGTTTTAGGTTTTAGATGATGAAACTACGTGGAAGGTTCTGAGGTTTGCTAATGGAATTTTGTTCTTGGTAGGCTCACAATTCATATGGATGAAGAACTACGTGCTCTGGCTTTCAATACCCTGCAGGCACTAATGCTTGATTTTCCAGATTGGCGGGAGGATGTTCTTTCAGGATTTGTTTATTTTATTGTTCGTGAAGTGACTGATGTCCATCCCACGCTTCTTGATAATGCTGTAAAGATGTTGGTACAATTAATAAATCAGTGGAAACAGGCAACCCAAATGCACAACAAAAACCAGGACTCCCAGGTACCAGAGTCTTTTGTTTTGTCCCTTTGTATGTGGTCAGTGGTAACTGACCAACAGTCATGTTAATAGCTATTGATTTCTTGCAAACTAAACATTTGATCGGTTTTGTTTGCTTTCGAAGTCTTATAATCCCTAAACTAAACCTCCCTGCAGTTCAGATGTTAAATATAGTGTTCGTGTGTCCAACCTTTGCAACCCTCTTCCTTTCGTAACAGTTGGTTCTGAATGAACACAGAGAGTAGAGGCAATTCTAGCTTACGTTTAGGTTGTTTCCAGTATATTTAAAGCTGATATAACGATTTGGGGGAGTATTCCATTTGAGTTATTTGATTGTTTTACCCATGGTACTAGTCCCTGCTTCACATATGTGGTTTGTCTGCTCCTTTACCATGAAAGGTACTCAGCTTCTTGATTTATATAACATATTGCCCTAGAACCTTGGAATTTTAGAGCAGGATCATCTAAATCAATCTAGCTCGCAGCCTTCAGTGAGCATGGAGAGAAGCCCAAGAACCCCTATTTCCAACAAGCTCCTAGGTGATGCCATGCTGCTAGTCTACACTTCGAGTTCAAATTGTCCCAATTCAGTCCCTTCATTGTCCACATAGAAGTGTTAGGCCAAGAGTGATTAACAGTGTCAGCTCCAAGTTTACAAAGTAACCAGAGAATGCCAGAAGCTCCATACACAATTCATATTTAGACTGCCAGTTAAAAAGCTTTTTATCTCTGTGTACACTGTTACATTTTTTTTTTTAATGTTTATTTTTGAGAGAGAAAGAGAGAGGATGAGCAGGGGAGGGTCAGAGAGAGGGTAACAGAGGATCCAAAGCGGGCTCTGCACTGACAGCGGCGAGCCCAATGTGGGGCCCAAGCTCATGAACCAAACCACGAGATCATCACCTGAGCTGAAGTCGAAAGCTCAACCGACTGAGCCACCCAGGTGCCCCTGCGGTGTTACATTTTTTGTGAATTAAATATTATTTAAGTTACTTGAGCTGAGGCAGATCTATAGCTATAATGTATATAATTTGGTTTATTCTTTAATTAATGGTTATACTGGAATGTCTACACATACTCTTTTGTTTGATTTTTAACTTCTTTTTATTTTTCAAGCATGGTGTGGCTAATGGAGCTTCTCATCCCCCTCCTCTGGAAAGGAGCCCGTATTCCAACGTATTCCATGTGGTCGAAGGGTTTGCACTTGTCATTCTCTGTAGCAGTCGACCTGCGACTAGGAGATTAGCTGTCAGTGTCCTTAGAGAAATACGGGCTTTGTTTGCACTTTTGGAAATACCTAAGGTAAGATTTAGGTATATCATTTAATTATCTAATGAAAGTACATAAAAACTATTCTTTTGTTCATTCTGTTGCTGCCATGCAGGCATAACTTAACTTATAACAAAGTAACAAAGGCTTTTTGACCTGGTCTAAACTAACTCAGCTGCCTTCAATTCCATTTGTAACGAATAGTGCTGATGTGCAGTTTTTTTATGTTTTCTTAGGTTTGGCTTTTCTTAATCATTCCTAAATATTTTTAGACATGTGCTCACTTTTTTATAGGGTGATGATGAATTAGCCATAGATGTGATGGACAGGCTGAGCCCATCCATTCTTGAGAGCTTCATACACCTCACTGGAGCTGATCAGGTAACTGTCATGATTTCATGCTATTCAGTCTTGCCTTGGAACTTTAGACATACATACATGCATACGTGAATTACCTTTACAAATATAATGCATTGAAGAGTATTTTATGCCCAAGTTATAATTAATTTGACTCATTAAGATGGAGAAAAACACTTTGTTAGCAAATGCAACCAAACTTTCTTAGCTGGACTTGATTTTTTTACAAAGGTCTTACGTTAAGATTTCAAGATGGACATAAAAATAACCATCAAACTTTACTACTTGAAGTTTCTTTTTTGTTCCTGTTTGGAACACATGGACAAGGTTTCTGGGCTTTGAGTGTAATACTTAGCTCTTATAATTCACAACTTAATGTATAACCAAGGGAGATAGTAATACAATTTTGTAAACCTAAGAGATCAATTATAAATCTTTTCAGTTTAAAGAATTCTGCTTTAGATTATTAACTATGATTTATGCCAACAAAAAGAATAATGAATGACTCTTCTCATGCCTAAAGCCATGCCTGGCTTATAATGGGTATTTTTGTAAATATCTGTTGAATGATAGAGTGAATTGGACCTCTGTTCAGTTTAAGACTTTGTTGTGTCTTTGTTGTTGTTTGAATGACACATAAGTTGCTCTGAAGGTAAATCTTTATCTCTTCAGTATAATAGCTTGGAATTATCATTGAACAAATATTTAAGAATATGTACCTCTGGAGAGGAGTCTGTTTTCCTGTCTCTTCTGCCTGTGCATATATAGGGCATGTCAGCATAAAGTTAATGGTCCATTTTTCAGTTCCCTCTTAGTTTTAGTATGCCCATGAAAGTTGATTATTCATATATGAATTATGTAAGTTGTGGTTCTTCACCTTTTTGGTTCATAGATCCTTTTGAGACTAATAAAACTCTGGAATCTTTCTCCAGAAAAACCCATGTACACACGTACACACAAAAAAACTTTATATGCAATTTCAGGAATTCACTACTCCCTTAAACCTTTCTTGGACCTCATTATTACCTCTGTTCTAGAAACTACCAAGAGGCCACTTAGAGTTTAATGCAATCCATATGGCAAAACTCTGAAACTTACGGAAATGTGCGATAATCCTTTGCTGTTTTCTCTACGCAGACTACTTTGCTGTATTGCCCTAGCTCGATAGATTTACAGACATTAGCAGAATGGAACTCTTCTCCTATCAGCCACCAGTTTGATGTGATCAGCCCATCACACATATGGGTATTTGCACATGTGACCCAAGGCCAAGACCCATGGATTATAAGTCTCTCCAGTTTTTTAAAGCAAGAAAACCTTCCCAAACACTGCTGTACAGCTGTGAGCTATGCTTGGATGTTTGCATACACAAGACTTCAGTTATTGTCCCCACAGGTTGATATAAAGTAAGTTGTTTTCCTAGTGTAAATTTTAGAATGTGTAGACTGTCAGTTTTTATAAGTACGTATTTGAAAAGTTGTACAAGTTGGAAATTCCACAAGTAAATAACTGCCATAACGGACTGATGTATAAGGGGGGGGGGAGACGAAAGATGTAAAGGATGTAGTCTCATAATCCCTTCATCCTTTTCATGTAATTCAGTCTCACCAAATTGTTGGTTCACTTAATAGCACAGTGCTTGGTGCATTAGTATGTGTCTGATGAATCTGTACTGAAGAATTAAGGAGCAGAGGATCTGGAGAGGAGTGTGGATCTGGATACAGATGAGCGTATAGAGGAAGGGTGCAAAAAGTGAAGAGACACCAAGCACAGTGACCTTACTTTTCCTGATTACATTATAAGGAAGTCATCTGCTGACAGGGATTAGTGATGATGGCATTGGGGATAATGGCAAAGATTTGGAATAACTGATGATGTGATAGGGTGTTAAACAAGGTCATCATAAACTGCAGTAAATTTCTTCTTGCTCTTAAGTATAGTATTTTTGAACCTGAATTTGAGTTCCCGATTTCACTTTATCCAGTACGTTTTATCAGATCACATGGAATGAGGCCTCTCATCATATAAGTTGCCCGTATAAACCCAACCCCTGGACGAACCTAACACCTTAGGGTCATTAAAGGCTCTCCAAACCTGGCTCTAGTCTGTACTTTCCCCTTACTTTCTGTCATTGCTGTCCATGTGTTCTTAGGTTAGAACCACACAAACTTCTCCAAGTTCACCACATGTGACTACAGTTTCCACTATCTTGAGTTTTAGTTCACATGAACCTAGAATGCCTTTTGTCTTCTCTGTCTTCTGTATGTCGACATCTGCTGTATCTCAAATTCCACCTTATTTTTAAAGCCTACTCTTACATCTCCCAACCTAGAGTAATCATTCCTTCTTTTGGATTTGAATATAGATATTTTTGGTTTTTCTATATGTGTATCCATGCTTATTATATATCTATGTAGATTCTCAGGTATCATGTAGCAAGTATTAGTTATTTAGTGGAAATTGACACTTGCCACCTTGCATAACATTAATGACCTTATCTTAGTCTCCCCTAATTACCATGTTTTAAATTAGAAGCTCCTCTCCTACTACCATTCTCTATCTCCTCTGTCATTCTTCATCACAGTTGGCACTATCTGATGTTGTTTTATTCATTTCTGTATTGTATATCTTCCGCAGTACTCATGATGGTAGTGATTTTTTTTTTAAGTTTATTTTTACTTATTTTTGAGACAGAGAGAGAGAGAGAGAGAGTGAGAGCCAGGGAGGGGCAGAAAGAAAGGGAGAGAGAGAGTCCCAAGCAGGCTCCGTGCTGTCAGCACAGAACCTGATGCAAGGCTCGAACTCATGAATGGTGAGATCCTGAGCCAAGATAAAGACTTGGTCACTCAACCAACTGAGCCACCCAAGGGACCTGCTGGTAGTGATTTTTAACAGGGTTGTTCTATTTTGTTTTTACTGCTGCCACAATATTTTCTAAAACAGTAAAACACTGTTGATGAATTAATGAAGTGATATGTTTGCTTTGTTTATCTTAATATATAAATGTACTGCAGCTAAGGACTCTGTGTTAGTATTTTTCTGTTTTGTTTTCCTCTCATTCCTTAATCCCAATAGAATTTGGTGTTTGGAAAGATTTAATGGAATTGTTCCAACATATTTTATTGGTCTGTTGTTTCAAGACAGAAATTTGACAGAATCCTTAAAAATGTGGATACTCTTTTGACACTGCAGTTCCATTTTTAGGAATTTACCCAAGAAAATAATTAAAATTTTATTATAATTAAGCATATATTCAAATGTATAGTGTTGTGTATTATAGGGGAAAATTTCTATTAGTTAAAATGCCCAATAATGAAAATTTAGACAATAAAACCTGATCTCTATAGTAATATAGCATACAGTCATCAAAAATGATGTCGCACTGGGGCACCTGGGTGGCTCAGTCGGTTGAGTGTTCGACTTCGGCTCAGGTCATGATCTCGCGGTTTGTGAGTTCGAGCCCCGCATTGGGCTCTGTGCTGACAGCTCAGAGCCTGGAGCCTGCTTTGGATTCTGTGTCTCCTTCTCTCTCTGCCTCTCCCCCACTTGTGCTCTGTCTGTATCAAAACTAAATAGATGTAAAATAAAAAAAAAAAAAAAATTAAAAAAAATGATGTCCCAGAAGTATAGTCTTTTAGTGGAAGATGTTTAAAACACGTTAAGTACATACAAAAAAAGCCAGTATTGTTCAGTTTTTGTGAGTTAAAGGAGATATATTCAACATGTTTGTATATGAATTGAAGATTTGTAAAAGAATATACTGTGCTTACTTGGATGTGGGATAAAGGGGATTTTCATTTTGTGTTCATGTGTTGTTTTTTTTTTTTCACATCAAGCATGTATAAGAAGTTATAAAATGTGGCCTGTTGAAATAATAACTTTGGTCACAAGAATAATAGATGATGTTAAAATGATGCTATGTTTTAATTTTCAGTCAAATATGTTATTCATTTATATCTTACCACCATTCCACAGGGCTTTAGCAGCGGTGGTAATAAAACCGTATGTTAACCATCTCTCCTAAATTGATAGCATTTAGCTTTAGTTAAAGAAAACTTCAAAAAATGTCGTATTGTTTGCATTCACCTGCTTCTCTTGCTGTTTTCCCCCTTAGCAGCCCCATCAATGCTAAGAAAGTGAACACTACCACAAGCAGTGACTCCTACGTCGGCCTGTGGAGAAACTATCTGCTCCTTTGCTGCAGTGCGGCGACATCCACGACCTCTTCAACATCTGCAGGTTCTGTGAGGTGTTCTCCTCCCGAGACGCTGGCGTCTACCCCTGATAGTGGCTATAGCATTGATTCCAAAGTAAGGCTTCCCAACCTGCCACTGAATTTGAATGGCACCATCAGATAATGGTTTTCAAGTGTCTTTTCCAGGACCATAAAGGCATTTGGTTGAAAAGTGTGTTGCTTGTACGATGAGAATAGTGTAAGAAATCGCATGACTATCGATTCCTTACTGGGATCAATTTCATATGTATACACACGAACACTGTTGTACTGATGGAGGGTCATGCTCACTGAATTCATCGTAGTGAATTTTTTAAAGGAATTTTCATCCCCACTTTTCCTTATTTATTTTCTATAGGTTTCACACTTCTCGGTATCCAAAATAAATCGTTTAAATAAATACCTTCGTCGAATTTCCCTAAATTATGTAGTGGTACCAATGATACTTGGTAATAACAGTTGTATAGCCTTCATGCTGTGACACAAAATGTTGCGAGGTGGTTGGAGAAAATTTAGAAAACCTAAGACCTGAGAGTTGAGAGTCTTTCTTTAACACCAGTGACTCTTGTAGAAGGAATTTTTTTCTAATTGGTTTTTATGGATCAAAAGACATAGACTATCAGATGGAGGGAATCAGCCTATTATCTGATGGTAAGTGTCTGTAAGAAATTAGGAGACCCACAGAGCCCAAATTCTTTTAATGAACTTGCAGCGAAACATTGGACAAGTCATTTAATGTTTTTAGATTATGTGCACCACAGGTGAATTTTGAAGCCCCATTCACAGAAAAATTCCATCTTTCCATGGCCCTTGATGAAATGTTGATGAAATGTGGATGAAGTGCCAAATTATTTAATTGGATGTACTGTCATTAACGGCTGCTATAAATACCTATTTTTTTTTCAGATTATCGGCATCCCATCCCCTTCATCCTTGTTTAAGCACATAGTTCCAATGATGCGCTCTGAGAGCATAGAGATCACAGAATCCCTTGTTCTAGGTCTTGGCAGGACCAACCCAGGAGCTTTTAGGTAATTATCTTCGTATCTGTTCTCTATGCACTAAACCAGCTAATGTACTGTTGGAGAGAAGGCGTGATAGAGTACTTACTATCCGGACAGTTCATGTCAGTCCTGACATTTACCAGGTAACTAGCCATGTAACATTTAATGAGTCCTGTAATTTCTCTGATCCTTTGTTTCTTCATTTTGACTGAACAGATAAGAATTACCCAATATTCTTCACAGAATGACTGTGAAAATCACATATCTATTCTGTATAAATATGTTCTAAAAATGATAAAATGCCATGTAAATTTTTAATACTTTTCTACCTATTTACACAGTGATGTGATTATTTTACAGTTTTGGTCTATTGGCTAAAACTATCATTTTTCCTGTTCTTACTCAAGAGAATTAGGTTATTATTTATTTATGTATTTATTTTAATGTTTATTTATTTTTCAGAGAGAGAAAGAGAGAGAGTGAGAGGGAGGGAGGAAGGGGCAGAGAGCGAGGGAGACAGAATCCGAAGCAGGCTCCAGGCTCCGAGCTGTCAGCACAGAGCCCAATGCAGGGCTCGAACCCACGAACCACGAGATTATGACCTGAACCAAAGTCATACTCTCAACTAGCTGAGCCACCCAGGCACCCCGAGAATTAGGTTATTTTTTAAAAGAAATATTTACATACATATTTTATGTCATCCTTGATATTTTTTATACTAATGAAAAAAATCCTTCATTTTTGCCTGAGATTCTGCTTGGTCCTTGCCTTGCCTGCTGGGCCTTGTAGTCATTCTTTTGAGATTGTCCTCCATTGATCTCAGGTGATGTTTGATGTTTCATCTCTGAGATAACACATACAGCAGAGACTAGGTTAGCTAATTATTATGTGTCTGTATTTGTGGGGTGGCGTTCATCATAAATGAAGTCTTGGAAAATTATTTTGTGATAAGTAAATACATTATTGTGCTAATGGAAAAAATAGGATCCAAAGATGATCTCAGATTCTTAAAAAACAAATTCTCATAAAGAGAAACAATCCTCAGGCAAAAACTGTAAATATCTGCAGTAGTTTCCATAGATGATGAAATTGTGGATGCATTGTGTTTTCTTATTATCCTTTTTTATTTTTCCAGTTATCCACAATGATCACATTTACAATTCAAAGCCATAATGTAAGCAAAGATAAAGTTATCATTTTCATGAAGTTCATACCCTTTGACTCATTAATGCTATTTATAAGAATTAATCCTAAGGAGATAATCAGAAATGAAGGCAAAGATATTCACTGAGGTAGTATTTATAACAACAAAAATTAGATAAAATTGGGGCACCTGGCCAGCTCAGTCAGTAGAGCATGTGACTCTTGATCTTATGGTTGTAAGTTCAAGCTCCACGTTAGGTGTAGAGATTACTTAAAATCTTCAGGAGTGCCTGGGTGGCTTAGTCAGTTAAATGTCCGACGTGGGCTCAAGTCATGGTGTCACAGTTGGTGAGTTCAAGCCCCTCATCAGGCTCTGCATTAACACCAAAGAGCCTGCTTGGGATTCTCTGTCTCTGTCTCTGTCTCTCTCTCAAAAAAAAAAAAAAAAAAAAAAAAAAAATTAGGGACACCTGGGTGGCTCAGTCAGTTAAGCATCCAACTTTAGCTGAGGTCATGATCTCAGAGTTCATGGGTGTGAGCCCCACATTGGGCTCTGTGCTGACAGCTCAGAGCATGGAGCCTGTTTCAGATTCTATGTCTGTCTGCCTGTCTGTCTGTCTCTCTGCCTTTCCCCTGCTCAAGCTCTGTCTCTCTCAAAAGTAAATAAATATTTAAAAATAATAGTAATAAATAATTTAAAAAGCTTTAAAAAATTACATAAAATTTAATGAATCAGTGAGAAATGAAAGTGGTTAGGAAAATTGTGGTATCCTACTCTATAAAAGAATATTGTGAATAAATTAATGGCATTTAAAAGTCATTATGCTATTAATGGGAAAAAGGATACCATCCCATGTATTATAGGGTTTCAACTATATAAAATGTGTGTGGGCTCAAAATGATGGAACAACAGTCTTAATGGTACTTACCTCTGTGAATTAGAGTAAGTGGCCTATCCCATTTTTTTCTGCTTTCCAAATACAGTGTGCATATGTTCTTTTGTAACCAAAACAAAACAATAAGGATTGTGTTGGAAACAGTAGAATTAGGGGGCACCTGGGTGGCTCAGTTGGTTAAGCGTCCGACTTTGGCTCAGGTCATGATCTCGTGGTTCACGAGTTCGAGCCCCACGTCGGGCTCTGTGCTGACAGCTTGGAGCCTGGAGCCTGTTTCAGATTCTGTCTCCGTCTCTCTCTGCCCCTCCCCTGCTTGTGCTCTGTGTGTGTCTCTCTCTCACTGTCAAAAATAAATAAACATTAAAAAAAGATTAAAACAGTAGAATTAGGGTTAACACTTGCATTTCACATCATTATATTAGTGTTTACATATTTGCACAACAGATTATACCCATTCAGCTATTAATTTAAAAATATATCACTTCCCTTCTAGGGAACTAATAGAGGAATTGCATCCCATAATTAAAGAAGCACTCGAAAGAAGGCCAGAGGTAAGTGTGTATTTTTCTACCATTAAATATTCATCAAGTACTTGTCTTCTATATTCTGTCAAAATTAGACATAGAATTTTGTCAAAAGTTAGAAATTGAGAAGTAATTACATAAAAGATCGTCTAAAGTAGTTCTAAACACTTTTTTAATATACAAAACTCTCCCCCCCCCCCCCCCCCCCCCCCCGGGAGATCTTTATGCAGAAACTCATTACATAAAAGATATTAAATTGCTATAACTAGAGTGAGGGCAAGTCAGGATCTAGATGGGTCAGCAAACTTCCTGTAAATGGCCAGATAGTAAATATTTTCACCTTTGCAGGTCCTACTGTCTCTGTTGCAACTGCTCAGTTTTGCTGCATAGACTACTAAACAAAGGGACGCAACTAGATTGCAATAAAATTTTATTTAGGCAGAAGTGGGCCAGATTTGGCCTGTGAGGTCCATATTTTGCCAACCCCAGGTTTACATTCCCAAATCTATAGGTTTGTGTTCTGTCCTGAGCAACTTTTAGAAACCGCAGGTCCAGTGGGACAGGCAGATATGCAAACCATAACTATAACAGTTTGTTATTCACTCAAACGAAGTCATAGGTAAGAGGTTGTACAGACTGTAGAGAGGAAAAGCCTCTGGCTCTGCCTGTGAAGGAAAAGTAGGTAGGAAGCACCAATATTTGAGCTGAAGTTTGAAGCACATTCCTTGGTGGATAAGCAAGGGGAAGACATTCTAGGCAGAGAAATAGCATTTGCAAACCTTATGAAAGAATTTGAACACTGCAGATTCTTTTGCATGATTATATTATGGAGAAAGTGATTGGTTATGCTGCAAAGCAAGGTAGGTATTATCTCATGACAGACTCCTGGTCTCTGCTTTATTTAGTAGTCCAGTGGTTACCGTATGGCATAGGCATCCGAGAATTGCCTGGAGAGCTTCCTAAAAATTATAGATTCCTGGGCCTGTTGAATGAGAATCCCTGGAATGGAGCCCAGAAATCTTCTAAAAACCACTGTAGATGAGCCTGGTGTAGATGACTGAGAATCACTGCTCTTTATGTCACCAAGGAATTAAAACAGGAGAGGGAGATGGGGATAATCGCTACTCTTTAGAAACTGTAAGACAGCATCTGTACTTCTTTATTTCCTTTCTTTAATTTAGCCTGGTGGAGTAGTGATAGTATCCCCATTTAGTAATTGATTAGACTTTTGCTTCAGAATGATCATGTTGATTACAGTATAGCATGAGAGTTAAAGGATTACCAGAGGAAAATGGAAATGGAAGCAAAATTAAGTAGCAATATTTATACTTCAGAATTTCAGGGGAGAGAAGTCCTCATAGCAAGTGAATAGATAGGTACAATGATGTGCCTTGAATGTAAGATTTATTTTGAGTGCCGTAGACTCAGTCTTTCTACAGGGATGAGATGAAAACAAGTCAGTTAAAACGTTGCAGAAATCCTCAAAAGCTGTTTAGAAACCATCCTGTTCAGTATGAATTGCTGTAAACTTTATAAAGAGCTAAACGAACTAGTAGTTGTAATGAACTGGTTATCAGCAAATTGGCCTGCTTATGCAAGGCAGGAATCTGGATTTTGTAGGTTTCTAGTTGCTCTGTACTGTGAAAATTACATCATGATGACATAATGAGCAATAGAAGAAAATGATGCAGCAAATCTGTCTCTTCCTACTACATGAGTTCCCACTGGAAGCAGAATCCAGTGGAGATATTATAGCAATTATAAGCTAGCCATTTGTCCTTTGGCTCTAATAAGACAAATTTATTCATACCATAATGATCAGATAAATTTTTTCTTTTGTATTTCGTTTTTGTGTCAAAATTAATTCGTGAGTGGAAAACTTTGGCACAAGCAAAATCTGTGGGGTTTCTTCATTCTCCTTTGTGTTATTTTTTTTATTTTCCCCGCCCTTCTGTTATATTCGGGGGGGACATCTTAGGGATTCTTTTGCTTTCAGTGAGAACAGTTGACTCACCGCTTCAGTTCTTCTGAAGTTGTCAGATTAACAAATAATCTAAAAGTAACTATAACTGTGAGGTAACTATAGGATTTTATTTTCTCCCCCCACAAGGGGTATGGCCGCACAAACTGTCATGTGATTTTATTTGGCTCATTAATCAAACTATCTGCACATGTCTCTCTGATTCAGTGGCCACTAGACTGCTCAAAGTCAACATTACACAAACAAAATAATCGCAATGAGCCCTAAAACCCTAAGTTTGCTATCGACTTCCCGGAAGGACTTTTACTTAGTATCTTTCTATCTCTGGAACAGAATATGAAGCGTCGCAGGCGTCGAGATATTTTGCGAGTACAACTGGTACGAATATTTGAACTGCTGGCAGATGCGGGTGTCATTAGTCACAGGTCAGTGTTGGATTTTGATTTGTAAAACTTTGATTAGGGAACATAATATCGTCTCTTATGAAATACATAAAAACAAAGCATGCTTGCAACAATAAAAACCTTCAACGCTGTGAGCATTATTTGCCAGTCCATCTAGTATTAGCCAGCGGCTAAAAAACATGTTGAAAAAAAATCTACCACTAGTACTAGATTGCTTCGGGAAAAAATTGGGTATGACATTCCTAGGATTTTGATATTTGTAGGAATCTAGTAACTCAGGCAAGAGGACAGTAGCCTTGTTTTGTGACTAAGTTAACTTTATCTTACCTCATTTTAAAGATGTATTTCTTGGGCGCCTGGGTGGCTCAGTCGGTTGGGCGGCCGACTTCCGCTCAGATCACGATCTCGCGGTCCGTGAGTTCGAGCCCCGCGTCAGGCTCTGGGCTGATGGCTCAGAGCCTGGAGCCTGTTTCCGATTCTGTGTCTCCCTCTCTCTGACCCTCCCCTGTCCATGCTCTGTCTCTCCCTGCCTCAAAAATAAATAAATGTTAAAAATAAATAAGTAAATAAAAATAAAGATGTATTTCTTGTAGACTGTAAAATCATATATATACACATCTATCTATACATCTATATAGATAGATAGATGTATATATATATATGTATATATATATATATATATATATATATAGGCTAAACACTATAAAGTTTACAAATTTATCCCAGTCATCTATTAGTCTATCCTATTGGGGAAAATCACAAAATCCATGAACATAAATCATAATTCATAACTTTCCACCCTTCCCCAATGAAGACATTCTTAGAATAAAGGCATTTTGGCACTAAGACCAGCCCCTTGAGGAAAATTCCATCAGCTTTGGGTTGAGAACTACCTATTTCCTTAGGAAAGATAATGGTGTTACCTGACTGTTTATTGAAGGAGGGAAAAAAAGAGAGATCTGATCGTCTTCAAAAAAAGGTAACTGAAAAGAGATCCTGAGGAAAAAAGAATGTTAATAATAGTGCAGTGTTGTTACTCTGGCATTGTCCTGCTTATTTCTGAGTACCTCCTCCCTTTCATAGTTCGCATCAAGTGCTTTTTTGACAAGTGCTTTCAAAAATAGAGCTTTAATTAAAGAGAATTTAAACCACTGATTACCTTTTCTTTTATAGTAAATGAAAAGCAAATGAGAAGAAAGAAAAAGAAACATCATTCCTTTTTTTTGTCCTACACAAAAATAAAACAGTGGAAGTCAGGAAAAGAGAATTTGAAACATGCTGGGCTTCATGCAAAAAATCAACAACCTAATACATACCTGGATCTTTTTTTGGTTGTTGCTTTTAATGTAACGTTAGTGAATGGAGAATCTTTGATACTATTTTGGGGAACTGCAGGATATTGGTGTATTTAAAATTTAACTGCAAAAGCTGTACTCACCATTGGGCAGTAATGGTTTTGAACACAGTTATGGTTTTGGTTTTGTTTGATTTTTTTTTTAAGAGAAGGTAATCCTATAAGGCTGTTGCTATTATGGACTTTTTACTTCCTTGATTAAGGCAAAAAAGATGAATTCAGAATGCCAAGAAGGCAGGGATCTTTGTTTTGTTCCTCAAGCTGATCCTGTGTGCCTCATGCATAGGAAGTACTCAATGAATATTTGTTAAATGAATGAATGTTTTTCTCTGGGTCAGGTTGCAGTCTATTAAATTGGTTTCCCATCCAATAATAAATCATGACTCAGAAATTAAAAACACTCATTTAAGGAATAAAGGGAAACATTTCAAAAAAAAAAAAAAAAAGGAAAAGAAAAGAAAAGAAAGGTGCCTGGGTGGCTCAGTCAGTCATTAAGCATCTGACTTCAACTCAGGTCATGATCTCATGGTTCTTGAGTTCGAGCTCCACGTCGGGTGAGCTCAAGCTCCATTTGGGGTGAACATGAGCCCTGCTTGGGTGAGCCCTGCTTCTCTCTCTCTCTCTCTCTCTCTCTCTCTCTCTCTCTCCCCCTCTCTCTCTCTCTCTCTCTCTCTCCCTCTCTCCCTCTCTCTCCCTCCCTCCCCCCCCCACACACCCTCTCTCAGCCCCTCTCTCACTTGCACCTTTTCTCTCTCAAAAAAAGGGAGGGGACACATTTCATTATGAATTCATTGAACATATTTTTATTGTACACTGATATTTTTAAGATGCTGTAATACCATGGTGATTCCTTACTCTTGTTTTCATGGCTTTAGGATGTTTATTCTTTTGAGAGAGCACATGCAAGTGGGCAAGGGGCAGGGAGAGAGAGGAGACAAAATCTGAAGCAGGCTCCAGGCTCTGAGCTGTCAGCACTTGAACTCACGAATTGTGAGATCATGACCTGAGCTGAAGGCGGATGCTTAACCAACTGAGCCAACCAGGCCACTCCTACGACGTTTACAAGAAGCTCTTCACAACTATTAAAAATTAGTTTTACTTTTAAAATCTTGTGTTTTAGAAGTACTTTTCAAATATAGCAAGGAAAACTGATCAAAATGAATGTAATGTAACATCATCATTTATATAGCACTTATGGTTTACTAATAAGATTATGATTCATTTTGTTTTATGATTTCATTTTCTCTTTCTTACATAGTAACTCATTTATAGTCTTACTAAAATGCTCTGAGGTAGCTACTGGTCAAATCCTTTATAAACAATGGAACAAGACTGGAACTCAAGACTTCTGACTAACCAAAGGAGCCCTTCTGGTCTTTGGTTTCCAGGCAGAGAGCCCTTGCCTCAGGGAAAAAATTACTGCAGATTTTTGAGACAATTCCACGGGTATAAGAAGACTTGAAAACCACCACTCGTACTTGAATTCTCTTAAAGTTTTGTGTCCCTAGTACTACCTGTTTTAGAATCTTGCAGAGAATAAATACCTAATGGATATTTGATTGATTATGCTAAAGGCATGATATGAATATGCGTGGCAACTAGGAGAATATATAGAGCTAGTCTTTCTTCTTTCTACCCTTCTGAACCGATCCTTCCTATCCCGTATGCCTCCTTATTTCCTTATTTTGAAAAACTATATATTTTGCCAGAGAAGGAATAACATTCAGCACTCAGAATAGTCGATTAAAAGCAGATATGGAATTGAATAATATAAATTGCAGTAGTTTCTTGATTAAGAAGCACCATCTAGGGGCACTTGGGTGGCTCAGTAGCTTGAGCATCTGACTTTAGTTTGGGTCATGATCTCATGGCTCGTGGGGTTGAGCCCCGCATCAGGCTCTGTACTGACATCTCAGAGCCGGGAGCCTGCTTTGGATTCTGTGTCTCCCTCTGTCTCTGCCCCTCCCCCATTCATGCTCTGTCTCTCTCTCTCTCTCTCTCTCTCTCTTTCTCTCTCTCTCAAAAATAAACATTAAAAAAAAGAAGAGGAAGAAGCATCATCTAGGAGCACCTGGGTGGCTCAGTCAGTCAAGTGTCCAACTCTTGACTTCAACTGAGGTCATGATTTCAGAGTCATAGGATCGAGCCCTGCATTGGGCTCTGTGCTAACAGTGCAGACCCTGCTTGGGATTCTCTCTATCCCTCTGTCTCTGCCCCTCCCCTACTCACATGCTCTGTCTCCTAAAATAAACTTTAAAAATCACAATCTATCTCATATTTGTAAGCCAAAATCATGTTCATTTAATTTTTGTATATTAAGTTGCACACTATCATGACCATGCCAAGTTTAATACACAGTTGATCCTTGAACATAGATTCGAGCTGCACAGGCCCACTTGTATGTGAATTTTAACAGTACAGTAATATAAATGTGTTTTCTCTTATGATTTCATTTTCTCTGTCTTTATTGCAAGAATATAGTACATAATATGTATGACATGCAATATATATGTTCATCAACAGTTTATGTTATCGGCAAGGTTTCCAGCCAACAATAGGCTATTAATTGCTAAGTTTTGTGGAGTTAAAAGTTATTTACAGATTTTTGACTGGAGTGGTGTGAGTGGGTACCCCAAGCCCCCCCATTGTTTAAGGGTCTACTGTGTATTATTCTGGTTTGATTACTAGGAATTTATTTTGATTGAAATTATAATTTAAAATCACATTTTCTTTTTTTTTTTTTTCCAATATTTTCAGTGCAAGTGGTGGCCTTGATAATGAAACACATTTTCTCAACAACACTTTATTGGAATATGTAGATTTAACTCGACAACTCCTGGAAGCAGAAAATGAGAAAGACTCTGACACACTGAAGGATATACGATGCCATTTTAGTGCCTTAGTGGCGAATATCATTCAGAATGTTCCAGGTAATTATTTTCAGTTTCTTTTTTTTTTTTTTAATTTTTTTTTAATGTTTTTATTTATTTTTGGAGGAGAGAGAGACAGAGCATGAGTGGGGGAGGAGCAGAGAGAGAGGGACACACAGAATTTGAAGCAGGCTCCAGGCTCTAAGCTGTCAGCACAGAGCCCGATAAGGGGCTCGAACTCACGAACTGTGAGATCATGACCTGAGCCGAAGTCGGATGCTTAACTGACTGAGCCACCCAGGCACCCCTATTTTCAGTTGCTTAAAACATTATTGAATCATTAAGCAACCATCATGTATTTTCTTCCCATGAGGGTTTGCAGTCTCAGGTGCTAAAGCAGCTAAAATATAGTGGAAAATATGTCAGCACAACATGGATGGCAAGCGTTTGTTTTAGCTTTCAATTAGTGGTGTGAGTAGAAATCAAAAAACAACCCCACCTAGATTTTTAATGATAATCAAGACACTAACAAAAAATTTAAGAAGTCAATAGAATATTCTTCTATTATTTTTATTTTTAAAAATTCTATTCTTTTATTTAAAAAAAATTTTTTTTTAATGTTTATTTATTTTTGAAGGAGAGAGAGACAGAGTGCGAGCCAGGGAGGGGCAGAGACAGAAGGAGACACAGAATCCGAAGTAGGCTCCAGGCTTTGAGCTGTCAGCATAGAGCCTGAAGTAGGCCTCGAACTCATGAGCCATGAAATCATGACCGGGGCCAAAGTCGGATGCTTAACTGACTGAGCCACTCAGGTGCCCCTTGGCTAAGCTTCTTTAGACAGACTTGTTCTGGGTGTAGTAAGCAAAAAGAAATAGTAATGAGAATAGAATTAACAAGATACTTTTGAGTAATGGAAGAAGGGTGCAGGCTGCAGTTACAAAATATACCAAAGATACAGTGTTATTGATTGGTTCCTTTAAGGTCATTGTACCTATTGTTGAGTACCTACCAAATGGCAGATAGTGGTTTAGGCACTAGAAATATTAATTTATGCAATTACGTTTTAAAAAGCCATAAATTCTGTACAAGTGTAAGACATAAAAATGTGACTGTAGCCTTTGGTATAAATGTAAATACAATTTTTTTCTTTTTCTTTCTGAAAAAGAATAATTTTGTTAGCTTTAAAAATACATGCAAACAGTTGGCTTTTAAAGTAAGAGCATGGGCTGTATTTTATAAGAGGGTCCAGTAAGCATTTCTTAGGTACCTTAATTTCAAGTGCGGGAGCCCTATTTGGAACTTTAGAGGAAATGATGCCAGTTAGAGGGAAAGAGCATTCTTTCCCTCTGACTTTTCTGATCTGAAGCCCATTAACATAAAGATAGAATTTCGTCCATTACTAAACATTTTTCTACAACTTCCAGATTGGTTCATTAAGATACTATTGGGTTTCTTCAACCAGGATTGACACCGAGAATTTGTACATGGAATTTTAACGTGGAGAGAATCCGCGGAGATCATCTCAACCAGTTGTTTTCAAACTGTGTCGTTTTTCCTCTGCTGCCAGCAGCAAGAGGCAGCAGAATGGGTTTGGACTCTAGGCCTTACCCCTGAGTTCAAGTAGATCAGCCCCTCCTTTGTCTGTTTTGTGTATCAAGATTCCATGTAAGGATTCTTGATTCTTTGACAAAGACAGCTGTGCTGCTAAAAACATACAGCTTAAAAACAACTTATCTCGTCCAAAGATTTCACTTGACATTGAGCCGAGATCCAGAGTTGTGTTCGTGTTGATGTCTCGGCCCCGCTTACCGTGTAAGCAGCAACAGCCAGGGAGAGAGGCAGGGTCCTCGTACCTCCCTTGAAATCGTGCTTGCGGGTCCTGAATCTCTCACAACGCTATGCTGCGTGGTGTCATAGTCTCAGTCCTGTTCCTGTGGCTTGCATATGTGGAAATGATTTCTGCCACGGAGGAGGTTTTTGGCAGTTTAAGATAAAAACTTCTGCTTTCTTTTTTATAATATTGCATATTCAATGCCAAATAAGTTGGCATGCACATTAAAATAAAGGGAAGTGGGAATCATTGTTTTCCCATCTATTTTTTATTCACAGTGCACCAGAGAAGAAGTATCTTCCCTCAACAGAGCCTTCGTCACAGTCTGTTTATGCTGTTCAGTCACTGGGCAGGCCCTTTCAGCATCATGTTTACACCCTTGGACAGATACAGTGACAGAAATATGCAAATTAACAGACATCAGTACTGTGCCCTAAAGGTATTTACTTAGAAATCTGCTTTCTTTTTTCTTACGTGAAGAGTGTAAATTTTTTTCTCTCTCATTGCCTAGTGTTGTAAAGAGGTTAGATTTCTTCTTAGTACCTTGAGAACATTAGAATAAATATTTGCCTGCTGTATGAAAACATTTATAGTGTATGCTTATTTAAATGCATAAAATACAACGCAAAGAAGTTACAGAATCCACCCAAAATTTAAACACTATTTTCTTAAAGAACTGAGAATTGCTTCTGTTTCCTTAAGTACTTTTTCTCCGTCTTTTTCCCCCCTCTTCTCTTCCAGTACTGTTCAAACTCCATGCCTAATTTGATATCATCCATTCACTTACTACTCATAATAAATTACTTAGTTTCAAAAATTACTATTACGCTTTTCTTTGTAAAGAATTAAAGGTATTGTGGCCACATAAGCATGAATAAAAATATCCTGCCTCTTCACATTAAACAGCCAACATATAACCTCTTAAATGTTTTAAATGTAATTCTAATATTATTGTTTGAAGGCTATGTCTGCTGTACTATGTTGTGGCCCTGTTGCAGATAATGTAGGACTTTCATCAGATGGCTATTTGTACAAATGGTTGGATAACATTTTGGACTCTCTGGACAAAAAGGTAATTATGACAGTTCCTTTAAGATTTCATAATAAATGGCACTGCATTATTTGGAGTTACAGTATGACCCATTGAAAACCAATCTTTTTTTTTTTAATAGGAGACAGATTAGAATATAAACAAAAAGCATATTATATAAAATTAAATAGGATGCAACAATTTAAGAATTTTCTAATTCTTATTTATTACTTAAATAATATTAATTATTATAGGGTTAATATAATAGTGTATACATATATCTCACAATAGGGTTCTAAATCTAAAGTATATTAATATAGAATACGTTGAGCTCCATGGAAGAAATACATGTTATTTGTTATGCTTAATTTCATTTTTTTTGGCCACTCCCCAATTAATCTTTCTTGTCTTCCCTATTCTTTATTCTCCTGCTATACATGCATAGACTTCACAATTTAAAATAGAACTTACATTTTTTTCCCCTCAGAATAATTTTTGTATTAGGTTATCCGAGACAAGAATAAAGCTTGATAAAAATAACTGGAGAGGTTAATAACTCACTTTTCTGAAAGCACTGAATCACTGTGCATATTCATCAGCCGCCTTTAGGGCTCTGCTGGAGGAGAGAATTGTACTACGTAGAGTCTTGTGGAAAAAGTATAGTTTATCCATGTCATTTGTTTCCTTTTGGCTAAATAAAATGAGAAGAGGTTGAACAAAAGGAGACTGAGATTTGTGCTTAAATACAATAAATATATATACTGTGTTATTTGAATAAAAATATGGGGAAGTAGTTATATAAATTTCTTTCTCCCGGGCAATCTTGTGACCTTTCCTTAGGTTCATCAGTTGGGCTGTGAAGCAGTTACATTACTGCTGGAGCTGAACCCGGATCAGAGCAACCTGATGTACTGGGCTGTGGACCGATGTTACACTGGTTCCAAGAGAGTGGCAGCTGGCTGCTTTAAAGCCATAGCTAATGTATTCCAGAACAGGTACTCTAGATACTGGCTTCCATATTTTATTTAGCTTTTTTTTTTTTTTTTTAAAGAAAAATACTAAGAAACCAGTGTTTTGCTTCCCTGAGCTCTAATGAAATGTAACCAAAATAAGAATAACGATCACCGTGCATCTGTTGTACCTTTTGCCTTAAAAACAAACCCCTAGTCACTTCATTGCTTTAAAAGCTGCATGTCTGCAGCTCTGCCCTTTGTGTATCATATTTATTAACGGTGTGAAAACCTCTAAACATTAACCTAACATGTAAAATTTGTCCCTAGGGATTATCAGTGTGATACAGTGATGCTCCTGAATCTGATCCTGTTTAAAGCAGCTGATTCTTCTCGAAGCATCTATGAGGTTGCTATGCAACTTTTACAGGTATGTAAGCAAATATTAGTTAAAATATTTTTTAAGTTTATTTATTTATTTTTGAGAGAGAAAGAGTGCAAGCAGGGGACGGGCAGAGAGAGAAGGAGAGAGAGAATCTCGAGCAGGCTCCACACTGTCCACGCAGAGCCCAACACAGGGCTGGAGCTGAGATCAAGAGTCTGATGCTTAACCAGCTGAGCCAGCCAGGCGCCCATAGTTAAATTATTTCTTATTGAGGATTTCATGAAGCATTGCTACCTATTCTTGCCTTGAAAGTCTATAAATATTCAGCTTTATTTTCAGTGGGGAGACATGGTATCAATTCCTGATTATCATTACAAATAGAAGACAAAGATAATATGGGTCACTTAAGTCTACAAATAATACAGACTGTTCAGAAGTGTATTACAAAGGGGTCACATATATACTTCCACACATGCACCTGTATGTGCCTATATGTGTGCAAGTACTTACACAAATTGAATGGTCAGGACCTACCAGATAAGAATAATGTGAGCCAAATGATTTTTTGAGAACGAAGTAAAAAGTAATTAGCTCTTCTTTGATGACCTTGTATAATTTTTCTTTATTAGACCAAGAAAAATAACATAGAAAGGTTACTTCCCAAGCATGGATATTCCATCATCATACAATATCTAATTGTTAATAGGGTGAGATTTTTCTCTTTTAACCAAGAATGAGATTCAATTAGATGCTGATTTTTCCAGAGGGCTTAAAGTGGTATTGATGGTGGTTGTGACCATCTTGGGAATTACACCCTAATGTCTTAATTAATTAGGAAGAAAGTTCAGTGGTATCACTCTCTATATAGTGTAATGTTAAAGAATTTTTAAATCATATTCCTTATTTGATCTGTATGTAACCAAGATCTATTTGAAGATTTTTTTTCACTTATACATGTTTCATATAATCCTGTTTTTGAACTGGGAAGTGGTAAATTTTCTTCAAGTAATGGTATAGTAAGTTGCTTAAGTCATTTTCAGACTGCTACTGCCTCAAACTGTTGGCATTAAGCTCAAGGAATATAAAGCCTTGTAAACAATTACAGATCCTTTGCAAACATTTCTAGGAATTAGAAATTAACATCTTGGGGCGCCTGGGTGGCTCAGTCGGTTAAGCATCTGACTTCGGCTCAGGTCATGATCTCACGGCTTGTAGGTTCAAGCCTCGTGTCAGGCTCTGTGCTGACAGCTCAGAGCCTGGAGCCTGCTTTGGATTCTGTGTCTCCCCCTCTTTCTGTCCCTCCCCCACTCATGCTCTGTCTCTCTCTCTCTCTCTCTCAAAAATAAATAAATGCTGAAAAAAGAAAAAAGAAAAAAAAGAAATTAACATCTGGAATACTTTCAATATACTTACCTATATTATTTTTAAGCTGGAATAATTCTTGTGAGAAGATTTTATTTTTCGATTATAGCTGAAATTTAAAGGACTCATGAAATCTTTACTCTACATTCCTGCAGATCCTGGAACCGAAGATGTTTCGCTATGCTCACAAATTGGAAGTTCAGAGAACAGATGGAGTACTTAGCCAGCTGTCTCCTCTGCCGCACCTGTATTCTGTTTCGTATTATCAGTTATCCGAGGAGTTAGCAAGGGCTTATCCTGAGCTAACTCTCGCCATGTTCTCAGGTATGATCATTGAACTGGTTAGTGGGTTTTCGTTAGGAATCGTTTCTTTTTTTTTTTTTTTTTTTTTTCCAACGTTTATTTATTTTTGGGACAGAGAGAGACATAGCATGAATGGGGAGGGCAGAAAGAGAGAGGGAGACACAGAATTGGCTGAAACTCCAGGCTCTAACCACTTGAGCCAGAGCCCAACAGCCCAGAGCCCAACACGGGGCTCGAACTCACGGACCGCGAGATCGTGACCTGGCTGAAGTCGGACGCTTAACCGACTGCGCCACCCAGGCGCCCCAGGAATCGTTTCTAAATAGCTACTTTTAGGACATTTTACATATATGAAATTTGAGGTTGAATCAAAAGAAAACATGCCTTTAAAGTTTTCTTTCTTTTTTTATCTGTACACCACATGTGGGGCTCAAACTCATGACCCCGAGATCAAGAGTCGCACACTCCTCTGACTGAGCCAGCCAGACACCGCTAAAATAAAACATGCCTTTATGTGAGAGAATGTTCTTTAATAAGAACTCTTAATACTAATCCCCTCATGATATGTAAATTTCTTATTAATGAAGTCTTTCCAGGCTTCTCACTTTGCCTTCCTTTCTTCTTTGCCTTGCAAAAAGTGGAAAAAAAAAAAAAAAGGGGGCTTCACATGCAATTTAAAAACATGTTTGGGGGGTGCCTGGGTGGCTCAGTTGGTTGAGCATCAAAATTTTTTTTTTTTTATGTTTATTTTGGAGACAGAGAGAGAGAGAGAGAGAGAGAATGTGAGTGGGGGGAGGGTCAGAGAGAGAGGGAGACACAGAATCCAAAGCAGGCTCCAGGCTCTGAGCTGTCAGCACAGAGCCTGACGTGGAGCTTGAATTCACAAACCACGAGATCATGACCTGAGCTGAAGTTGGATGCTTAACTGACTGAGCCACCCAGGCACCCCAAGCATCAGACTCTTGATTTCATCTCAGGTCATAACCTTGCAATTCCCGGGATTAAGCCCCACAGCGGGCTGCCCGCTGATGGTGCAGAGCCTGCTTGGGATTCTCTCCCTCTTTCTCTGCCCCTCCTCTGCTTGTGTGCATGTGCACCCTTTCTCTCTCTCAAAAACATGAGCTTTAAAGAAAATAATTAAATTAAAATATTTCTTGTGGCACCTGTGTGTGGCTTGGTCAGTTAAGCTTCTGACTCTTGATTTTGGCTCATCTTATGATCTCACAGTTTGTGAGATTGAGCCTTGTGTTGGGCTCTGCACTGATAGCACAGAGTGTGGTTAGAATTCTCTGTATCTGCCCCTCCCCACCTTGCATACACGCACATTCTTTCTCTCTCCCTCTTTCTCTCTCTCAAAATAAATAAACGTTAAAAAAAAATAAAAATAGGGGTGCCTGGGTGGCTCAGTCAGTTAAGTGACTGACACTTGATTTCGGCTCGGATCGTGATCTCATGGTATGTGAGATTGAGTCCCACATCGGGTTCTTGCACTGGCAATATGGAACCTGCTTGGTATTCTGTCTCCCTCTGTGTCTGCCCCTCCTGTGTTCTGTCTCACTCGCTTTCAAAATAAAGAAATAGCTGGGCCTGGGTGGCTCTGTTGGTTAAGCGTCTGACTCTTGGTTTTGGCTCAGGTCATGATCTTATGGTTTCATGAGTTCAAGCCCTGTGTCAGGCTTTGTGCTAGCAGCATGGAGCCTGCTTGGGATTCCCTCCCCCTCTCCCTCCCCCTCCCCCTCCCCCTCCCTCTTTCTCTCTCCCTCTCTCTGCCCCTCCCTGACTTGCATTGTCTCTGTTTCTCTCAAAATAAATACATTTTAAAAATTAAATAAAGAAATATACTTTGAAAATAGAAATAAATAAAAACATTTCTTTGGTAGACACAGAACTTCCTGAGTCTTCTAGTATATAACTTATCTTGTGCATTGGTCTGTCATTAATAATAAAAACGGGCAGAGATAAGGATCCAGGTTTCTTTCTTTAAGGAAAACCTGTAATCATAGGGAAAGGGCCTGCAGTGCCTTAAGCAAAACTGTTGCTTAGGATCCCAGATTGCTTTCTGGTTCAATTTCCTTTCCTTGGGGCCAACAACTGTCCCTGCCGCAAGTGTCTAAAACAGAGGGACTATGTGTCAGGCAAGATGTGCTCTCTATCTGGATCTGCCAAGACTCAGCTTTAGAACAATTTTTGTTTAAAATCTAGTTTAACCTTCTGCCCAGTGGACACTATTGCAAGTTCTCCTGTAGTTCTTGAATTTTCACCGAAGAGTTAATTTTAACACCGAACACTTAGCTGGTTTTTCTACTTTTCACTTGTAACAAGATCTTATTTTAGTCTTAGAATTGGACAGGCACCAAAACGGACATCCAGGGGATTAGAAAGTTCTCCTGTGGACCCTTTCTTTCATTTAGTCAAGACATGGTGACCTTCACCTTCTTTGGGCATCTTTCCACAGCCTCCATTTCAGTAGTGGAAATATTCCCCATCCCTCACTGACCTGACTGGGGCGGGGGGGGGGGGGGGGGGGGGGGGGGGGAGAGGGGGAGGAAACGATTTAAATTCCTGTAACATTCAATCTTAAAGTGGTTTGTCTGTTTGGTTTGTACCAGTAGATGGCAGTGACCGAGCCCTTCCTTTTCTGTAACTCCCGAAGTCCTGACAGCCCTTTCAGGATCAGTGTGCATGGTCATCGGTGCAAAGCAGTGACCGCCATGGCCACTGATGCTGCTGCTGGCCTTCTTCTCAGGGCTCCTACACAGAGAGCAGAACAGTCCAGCGGAGTCTCAGAGCTTCAGAAATGGGTCGGGATGGCAGCTGATATGAGTGAAGACCATGCCCACAGCTCAGTCACCTTTTCCCTTTTCCTTCAGTTCTGTCATCAGACGCCCTTGTCAGTAGGATTGGTTAATTATAACGGCTTTGCTTAAAATGGTTTATTCTAAACCAAAATATAGCCTGTAAACCTACTCAGTGCAGTTTTCACTCTGTTTCCAAGGCAAGATGAGCACAGTGCTTCTTAGGGGTTGTAGAGTACAGCTGTCAATGTCAACTTTGCCCACTTTGAAATTTGAGGGTCCCGCCCCTTCCTCTCTCTGGACCACTTGCGGAAATCTTTAAATGTTGTCCCCTCCCTGGCCCTTCCCACCCTTGCTCTTCCCATCGTTTTCCTCCTATACACCCACTTCTTCTTTATTAATTTTTTTTTCATGTTTATTTATTTTTGAGAGAGACAGAGACAGAAAGCGAGCGGGTTAGGGGCAGAGAGAGAGAGAGAGAGGGAGACACAGAGGCAGAAGCAGGCTCCAGGCTCTGAGCTGCCAGCGCAGAGCCCGACACGGGGCTCGAACTCATGAGTCGCGAGATCATGACCTGAGCCGAAGTCAGACGCTCAACTGACTGAGCCACCCGGGCGCCCCTGTACAGCCGCCTCTAACCCATCTCCTGCCCCTTTACCTTGCCTTGAGTGTCTGCATCCACTTTTATCATGCCCTCCACCCTCATGCATCTTCATAAATAGCCTTAAGACTCCGTTAGCTTGAGTTTCCTCTTTGTAAACTTATTGAAGGCTTTCCCACTGCTGAATCTAATCACTAGCTTCTGGTCTTCAATCTGTTTGCTACTTTGCCCAGCAATTAATGTTAGTCACCTTCCGTTTTTTAACATTCTGACCTCTCTTGATTTGTAGAAATTTAATATTTCCTAGTTTTCCTTCTACTGTGAGGTATTCCTTTTCTGTCACTTTTGGTGGATTCTTTTCTTCTATCTGAAGTCATCGCGTTCCCAGAGTTCCATCCCAGGCCTCCTTCTCAAGAGACCCTGTCTCCCTGAGGGAGGCCACTGCTGTTGCTGTGGCCCCAGCTTCCACACACACCACCTCTCCCCTAGTCCGACCTCTTCCTTCAACTACTTTGAGAGCTCCAGGGCTTTCATTTCATACCGGAGGCACTAACATTAATGTATTAATAGGAAGGATTATTGTAATTTCTGAATAGTTCTGGTTATAAACCAGAAAGCATGGGACTGAGCACTTGATTGGCACTATTTTGAATGTGCACAGTAATCCCATGAGGCATCTGCTTTTGTCACCCTCTTCTTACACAATAATAAATCGAGGATCAGAGGTTGACAGGTTGGCCCTAGGCCAAGCAGCTTGTTTGTGGTAGAACTGGGATTCAGACCCATGTGTGTGCAGTTCCAGAGCCAAGTTCCAAATCACTACACTTCTGTATTTGCTGCTTTTGTAAAAAATATTTACTTTTGAGAGAGAGAGAGAATCCAAAGCAGGTCCTGCACTGACAGCAGAGAGCCCAATATGGAGCTCGAACTCCATAACTTTGATACAATGACCTGAGCTGAAGTCAGACGCCCACCCTACTGAGCCACCCAGGTGCCCCTATATTTACTCCTTTTAATGAGTAAATAACTACCAAGGCCTGGTGGGCAAAAGGGGGGGCCAAGGAGAAAGAAGATGTTTATTTAAAGTGACTTTTGGAAATTTCGCTGTGTATAAAGGCATATGGGCTTTGGAATCAACCTTGTGTTTGAATCCTTTGGCACTCGATACATTTCTGACTTAGGCAGATTACTTAGACTCTGTCTACCTCACAGATTTATTACCATCATTAAATGAGATGAATGTGAAAGTAACAAGTACATCATAGGAGTCTCCCCTATATAGAACCAAAATATGGAGATTTTTCATGGGTCAGTTTAAAGTAATCTATGTAAAAAGACTGTCTTTTATCTTATAATTACACGTATGTATTTACTGAGGTAAAAAGACATCATAAAATTTACCGTAGGAATCATTTTAGATGTTTATAGTTCAGTAGTGTTCGGTATGTTAACATTGTTGTGAAATTGATCTCTAGAAATTTTTCACCCTGTCGAGCTGAAACTCTATAGCCACTAAAGAACTTCCCTTTTGCCCCTACTCCCTACCTCCTGCTAACCACCATTGTACTTTCTATTTCTATGAAATTGATTATTTTAGATATCGCCTATAAAAAGAATTATTTAGTGTTTGTGTTTTTGTTTCACTTAGCATAATTACCCCAAGGTTCATTCATGTTATGGCACAACAGAATTCCCTTCTTCTTTAAGGAAGGAATTCTTCCATTGCAAGAATGAATATATATATATATATATGTGTGTGTGTGTGTGTATGTATGTATGTATGTATGTATATGTATATATGTGTATATATACATAATGTGTATATGTATATGTGTATATGTGTATATATACACATATGTATATATACATAACACATTTTGTTTATCCATCTACTTGTCAGTGGACATTTGGATTGCTTTCACCTCTTGACTGTTGTGAATAGAACTGCTATGAACGTGGGTATGCAAATATCTCTTTGAGACCCTGCTTTCAGTTCTTTTGGATATATATATACAGAAGTGGGATTGCTGGATAATATGGTAGTTCTAATTTTAACTTTTCAAGGAGCTGCCATGCTGTTTACCCTAGTGGTCGCACCATTTTACAGTCCCACCAATAATGCATAAGCATTTATATGTCAGAGCCACCAAAAGTATTTTATATAAAAGTAGGATCTGATTTTTGTTAGTTGTTAGTTTTCTTTATGATGTCATTGAGGTGAAATTTATTAACAGGAGAAACAGCACTCATAATTGTTAAAAATAAAATCTTGGCTGCTTCTTCTCGAAGAATGAGTTGTGGACATTAATTACAAATCAGAAGAAACTGAAATGATACCGGTGGTTCCCTCTTTTGGCTTGTTTTTAATTACAGAGATAAGCCAGAGAATTCAGACGGCTCACCCTGCCGGGAGGCAAGTAATGCTACACTACCTGTTACCGTGGATGAACAACATCGAGTTGGTAGATTTAAAACCTTTGCCCACAGCGAGGCGACACAATGAAGAGGAAGACGACTCCTTAAAAGACCGAGAACTTATGGTGACTAGCAGGCGCTGGTTGCGAGGAGAAGGCTGGGGGTCCCCACAAGCCACTGCGATGGTTTTGAACAACCTAATGTACATGACAGCAAAGGTAAAATGGGGCTTGTGTTAGCGGTTGCTGCACAGGATTATTGAGTTAAGAGGAGTAAAAAAGGTTAGAAATAGAGGGAAAGATTAGGCAATCCTGTGATAACCAGATACGCTTTATAAACTCCTTTATTCAAAGCACTTCTCATTAGATGTAAAATAGGTTTTCGGGGGAGGAGACAAAATCATATATGGTTAATGATGTTTATGTTTGTATTTGTTGGAAGAAATGATTGTTCCTCTGGAGTATGGAAAAGATTCAAGCTGTGTATGAAATCATCATTTTCTAATGTTTGGTGCTCTGACAAGTTTGGTGTTTAACAAGCAGTCATCACTGAAGTGTGTGTTGTGTATCCTGCATATAGTATGGTGATGAGCTGGCCTGGTCGGAGGTGGAGAACGTGTGGACCACACTTGCAGATGGCTGGCCAAAAAACCTGAAAATAATTTTGCACTTTCTGATCAGCATTTGCGGAGTGAATAGTGAACCAAGCCTCTTGCCTTACGTATGTATTCAGGTTCATTAAAAAAAAAATTGTGCTTAATAATATTTACCTGGTTTCTTATTGTAGCAGAGTGTGGGCAGTAGTAGACCAGCAGAGGCAAAGCAGGGGGCCAAAGTGAGGACCCCACCAGGAAATAGCGCATGCATTTATTCATTGCTTCATTCAGCCGGTATCATCTAGCCTTTATGACAGGCGATTCAATAATGCGTATTGCCAGGTTCTCTTCGAGGTTCCAGGCATTTCAATCCAGTGGGTGGTGGAGATTTTATTCTTTGAACTTTCACCTAATTTATTTAATGAATGGATCAGTAAGTGGATAAAGTACGGTCTTGATAAGGGCTACAAAGGAAAATTGCAGAGTACTGAACGTGAATAACCGGGGAACCGCAGCTCTCTGAGAGGACTGGAGATGATCCTCGAGAGGAAGTGATATTGAAGGGAGACCACAGAATGGGGGATGTTTGCACTTTCTGCTAGGCAGGAGCTGGATACGAGAGCAGAACGGTGAGTGAGAGCTCAGGGCCTATAGAAGGGTGCCGACGGCTTCCAGGAGCAAGGGAAAGCATAATGCGAGAGAGGCGATGAAGAATGTCACAGTGTTTACTTCCTAGAGGGGAAAGCTCTGCAGAACAGCTCTGCAGAATGTTGCTGTAAAAGTTCTTCCAGGTCCTACTTTACACAAACCATTTCCTAGCTTTGCTCCGCCTGACATCTCCCGAGTTAACTTGGTTACTGAAAGCGTTCTTAAGGCATGCCACAGGATTGCCGTTCATCGAGAAACACTCAGAGAAGGGTGGGTGTGTGGTAGAAGGTTACAGGGTCTCACGTATCTCTCTGAGTTCATCTCCTCATGTTCTCCCCCAGACCCCCTGCCCCAGGCCCTGCTGACACCCTTGCTGCCCTGCTCTCTGGCACTCCCACCTTGGGGCCTCTGCACTTTCCCTACGTAGCCACATTGCTCACTCCCTCACCTCCTTCAAGTCTTTCCTTAGATGTCCATTCTCATTGAGGCCCTTGCTGGTCATCCTGTCCAAGACTGCAGATGCCCTGTCCCGACCCCTACTCTCTTTTTCCTTTCCCTGCTTGCTTGATTTTCCCAGCACTTCCCATCATCAAACATATATTTTACCTACTTGCCTCATTGCTTTTGCCTCCATCAGTCCAGTAGATTCTCCTCAAGAGCAGGAATTCTGTCTGTGTGGTTCATTGCTGTCTTCCCAGAGCCTGGAACAGTGCCTGGCACATAGACGCCACCCATAAATTGGATGGATGAATGAGTGAATTGGGCTGGAAGAAGAAACAGGCATGAAGTTATAATTCCCAAGAAGCCAAGATGAAATTCAGGGGATAACCATTTGCCAGAAACTTAAAAGGAACTTTTTGATGACAATGATAATTTCTTAATTATCTCTTCTTAATCACTTATTATAGACCAGGCAGGGTACAGGCACCTCATCGACATTGTTTCATTTAATTCTCAGAATAGATCTGAGTTTGCTAAGATTACTGCAGTTTTACATGTGAATAAAACAGGGCACAGAGAAGAGTCACTTCCCCAATGCCACACAGCCATTTAGCTCTGTCACTTAGTAGAGTGGATTCCAACCCAGATCTGTTTGTGAAAGGTTGGGAAAGCTTTGCGGAGAAGGCAGTGGAGTCGGGGCGGGGCTGGGGCTTGAAGACTTGGCTGGATTGAGGGAGTTCCTTACAGTCAGACAGGTTAAAGGCACAGGGGCAGGAGGGCACCTGGCAGGGTCTGAGGTGACTGAACCCGGGAACAGAGAATTAGCAAATAGAGCAGGTTGGAGAGATACAGAGCTGTATGTAAGTCAATGGGTAATCATTATAAGATTCTGGTATGATATAATAAAACACGTTTTAAGATTTGCCCCCGGGCTCCTGTGAATCAGAGTTTCTCAGTTGTCTGTGTGCAGATGAATCACCGGGGCGTCTAGTTCTGACTTGGAGGGTGGGGCCTGAGACTCTGTATTTCTAGCAGCTCCCAAGGATGATGCCCGTGCCGGCGGACCACATGTTTTGAGTTGCAAGGGTTGAAGTACAAAGGGAAAAAGAGACAGGCCAATCAGTTAGTAAGCGATTCAGTAATGCCTATTGCCAACACGCAGAACTTATGTGACTCATACTCTGTGCTTTCACTTATGTAACTCATACTCTGTGCCAGGCATATTTAAAATGCTTCATTAAATCTTACGTAATCCTAACAAGCTATATGAAGTGGGTGCTCCTGTCCCCGTTTTGCAGAAGAGAAAATTGAGAGTAGCTGTCCGATCGCATAGCTAGTATGTGTCTACACTGCAGTCCAGGCTGTGCGGTCTGGAGTCCGGTTCTAGTGGATCACTACTCTGTACTGCAGGGTTAGATAGGGAGCATAGGAAAAGCAGAATAAAAACTCCATTCTGGGTCTGAAGTCTGACTGACTGAAAATAACAGGAAATTTGGGATGATATTATTAATTGCAGTCTTTCCATTAAAAAGAAACTGATTTACAGAAAAGCAATTAGGTTTTTCTTTTCTTAAAAAAAAAATAGTGGAGTCGTAGATACGGTGGGAACCATTAAACAATATCCAGTCATAAGTATAACACTGGGCCGGGAGGGGGGACTGTGTTTAGAAAGCTGACTAATGCCCTATTGCTGATTGATGTTCAGATTTAAGTTGTGCTTATTCACCTACTATTTAAAGTCGAACTTATCTGTTAAAATGTGTTTCAAGACCAATTTGTGAAATAAAACTTTGGCTTTTTCTTCTCCACACAATTTCTTTTGTGACAGGTGAAGAAAGTTATTGTCTATTTAGGTAGAGACAAAACGATGCAGTTGCTGGAGGAGCTGGTGCGGGAACTGCAGCTGACAGACCCCGTCAGCTCGGGGGTCACTCACATGGATAACCCCCCGTATTACCGCATCACTTCCAGCTGCAAAATCCCTTCTGTCACCTCAGGTGAGAAGCCATTTGAAACTGGCAACTTGGTCTCAAAAGAGAAGCTCGACATAATTGTTCACCCTAGCAAGCATTTGCCTTAAACACCATTGAGAAAATAACAGCGCCCCCGTCGGGCTGCACGCTGGGCATGAAGCCTGCTTAGGATTTCCTCTCTCTCCCTCCCTCTCTCTGTCTCTCTCTGTCTCTCTCTCTCTCTCTCTCTTTTTCTCCCTCTGCCCACCCCCCCCCCACTTGCTGTCTCTAAAATTAAGAAAAAAAAACAAAACAAAAGCAAACATGAGTCATGTATGGTAATTAACTTGACAAGACTTTGTAAATCTTCATATGAGTGATGAAGTTTGACAGTGTGAGAGTTCTTAATATTACAGAGGGAAACGTATTTACATATGTATTTGGAACTGGAATATAGATACAACGAGCATTTTTTTTAAGTTTATTTATTTATTTTGAGACAGAGAGAGAGAGAGAGACTGAACAAGCAGGGGAGGGACAGAAAGAGAGGGAGAGGGAGAATCCCAAACAGGCTCCACGTTGTCAGCACAGAGCCCAGTGCAGGGCTCGATCTCATGAACCACGAAATCATGACCTGAGACAAAACCGTGAGTCAGATGCTTAACCAACTGAGCCACCCAGGCACACCCTCCCCTTCTACAACAAGCATTTTTTAATGAATATAATTAGTGTGTTAAATATAGAAAATGCTTACTTGTTGAATTACTCTGTAATTTCATATGATAATTATTTCGGCATATATAATACAGTCACGTAAGTGATATATATATATATATATACACACACACATACATATATATACATACACACACACACACACGTATAGTTATTATAATATTTTAAGTTGAAGAAACTGTGTCCCTGAGGGAATAACTTCCATTAAAACCAATATAATACTGGGACTATTTTAAATTACATTTCCATGAAATTATTTGTCACTCAGTTTGTATTGAATGTTTCTGTCATGTTAATAACATCTGTATAATTAGAAATCTTTTATAGTTTATTTTCTGGCATCTATTTTCATCTCTTAGCTCTTTTAGCTCTTTTTGTTCTACTTTCTAAGGGATTTCTAATAACACTTCCATTGAAAGCTTCTAATATTTTTAATTCTTCTAATATTTTATTCTTTAGTTTTTTGTTTCGTTTTTTTTTTTTTTAGGAACGCCTTATTCATGTTTCATGGTTGGACTGTCTTCCTTATCTGATGAAGTTTTCTTCTCCCAGCAAAAGTTTCTATTGTATCTATATAGTTCTGTTTTGATTTGTCTTAGTAAAAGCTTTTCTCAAAAGTCTACCAATTCTAGATCTGTCTTTTGATAAAGAGTGGAATATTAAAAAGTTGATTGGGGGGCACCTGGGTGGCTCAGTCCGTTGAGCATCTGACTTCGGCTCAGGTCATGATCTCATAGTTCACGGGTTCAAGCCCCATGTTGGGCTCTGTGCTGAGCCTTCTTCTGATTCTGTGTCTCCTTCTCTCTCTGCCCCTCCCTTGCTCATGCTCTCTCTCTCTCTCTCAAAAATAATAAACATTAAAAAAAATTTTTTTTAAGTTGATTGGATATTTTGTAGGTATACATGGAACTTATTGACTTTGTCATTTGTTGTATGATGATTTCATTGATGTAAGTGTCTATAGGTCTCTTCTCTTGGATGACTAATCAGATTCCCCAGACAAAACTCTACTAGTCATCTGCCTAAAGGAGAGGGTGTAGAGCTGTCTGTGTATGTGTGTACAAATACATTAATCCATAGATAACACACACACATACACACAGCATAGTCTTTAAGCCTTCTGGTAGCCCCATGGGGTGAGAAGGTTTCAAGGGGATACAATCTCAAATTTTAGGATGTATATTTTCACTCAATTCCCCTATTCTCAATAAAGTTCTTATTCTTTCAGCTGTAATTATGTGCCCTAGTCCAGAAATCTTTGATTTACTCTTATCAGAAAAGATTTCTGGAAGTGTAGAGAGAGAGCCACCCTGTTACAAGAGGAAGGGGTATAGATTTTGGGGACCAAAACCTCTGAAATAGATTTTCAACCAAGCCTGCCGTTTCAGCAACACCTTCAGAGTACTCCCAGAGATACTCAAAGCTATGAATTCCTGAACCTTTTGGAGGTTCAACAGCATAGATATGGAAGCTTCTTGGTTTACCCCATGACCAGCTTAAGATTCAGCTTTCTTAAAGCTTAATTACTTCCTGTCCATTTGTTTTCAACCATCCAAAATTTTGTTGCTGCTGTCTCCTTTCCCTCTTGGTTGTTATGAGTACGTTCCTTTTTATTAAAAAAAAATGTTTTTTAATGTTTATTTTTGAGAGAGAGGGAGAGACACAGAGTGAGAGTGGGGGAGGGGCAGAGAGAGGCGGGGGGAGACACAGAATCCAAAGCAGGCTTCAGGCTTTGTGCTGTCAGCACACAGCCCAGTGCGGGGCTCAAACCCATGGACTGGGAGATCATGACCTGAGCCGAAGTCAGATGCTCAACTGACTGAGCCACCCAACTGCCCCAAGTACATTCCTTTATAAAAATCACGTTGCTCTCATTTTAGTGGAGTTTTAACATCTGTAATTTTGAAATCTTTTGTTCTTACTGAGTTATCCCAGGCTTTAAGTTCACAGATACTGTTTTATTTCTGATTGCAGGAACTACTTCCAGTAGCAATACAATGGTAGCTCCCATAGATGGCAATCCCGATAATAAGCCCATAAAAGAGAATATTGAAGAGAGGTAAGTACCCCTTTGTTCTTCATTAGCCTTTCGGTTTGACAGAGCCTGATTATCAGAATAAATGATAACTTCTGCATTGGCATGTATATTTCATAGAATGTATATTTCAAAATTCTAGTGAAGAAATACATTTCCATTTTGGAAATTTTCCACATTGCCTATTTCATCATTAAAATGCTGACTTGCTAGATTCTTTTATGCGCTCTAACGGATGAATAGGTAGAGTATGTTCTCTCTTTTTGTGTTGTTTACAGTTTTAGACTTTCCTAAATGGCTATTCACTCTGCCTATCTTCTTTATAAAATAGGCTTTATCAGAACATTACTACCCCATTTAAGAAAAATCTTCAAGTAGAAATAATTGACTTTAAATCTTAAGCTTTTGAACTATAAGATGGAAATTAACGTGTGTGTGTGTGTGTGTGTGTGTGTGTGTGTGTGTGTGTCTCATAGTAAACTTTTGTTAATAGTTGATGTACTGTGTTCTTTTTTAAACGTAGAAAGTGAAACCGAAAGTACAAATACCATTTTTCCATGAACTGTGACTAACTCCATGATCATTCCCATAGCTATGTGCACCTAGACATCTACAGTGGACTAAACAGTCACTTAAATCGTCAACATCACAGACTAGAATCTCGATACAGTAGCAGCTCTGGAGGATCTTATGAAGAAGAAAAAAGTAATAAGTTCCAAATGTTTTTTATAACTACAATGGCAAGGTGTATTATTAATATATTAATTTTAGTAAATATATATTTTTCTGGCAATTTGTTTTTAAGAAGTGTTTAACTGCCACTAGTGGTGTTCCAGCATAACCTGAAATGTCCTGATTTTGAGGAGAAGCACGAATGGGGGAAATTTGTTTTAAAAGCACAGGGTCCCTATAGACGAGTCAACAGGAACATAAGAATTGGTTCTCAAAAAGCATCATAGACACTGACTACAGCCTGCTTTTTTTTTTTTTTTTTTTTTTTTTTTTTTTTTTTTTTTTTTGCTTTTTTTTTTAATAGGTTGGCTCTTTTTCTGTGAATTTATGTTTTACTGAAAAGTTCTCCCTTGCAGTTAATGGTAAAGTGAATATCTACCCAAGTCTCACTAGAACACTGAGGTAGAGTAGAGTAGAAGGGCAAAAGCCTTCAGACTGGGTAGTTGCACCTGAAGGTGATCTGGTCCAATCTCCTCGTTTTGCACATGATGGAACTGAGGTCCAGAGAGGTTAAGTGACTTACCCACGTCACACAGAATTCACATCTCCCGATGCCATTTTTCACTGCACCCTGCAGCCCCACTGCGGTAGAGCAGATTTCCTTTTAAGATGGGTTTGTGTTGGCCCTGTCTCAGAAAATTTAGAGTTGAGTAACTTACCAGAAGGCCCTGGTGACAAGGCAGCTTGACCTATAATGTGGTTTCATGGCTTGGACGTGAACTCTGAAATCTCATGAAGCGCTAGTATAGTTTTGCTTTGATAGAAAGGATAGAGCCCGAATGGATACCTCTTTCCGTCTCTGATTTGCTTAGTGTGATAGTGTTTGTGCGCAGGTCTTCCTAGCAAACCTATGTCCGAAGAGTGGGAAGTTATTTTGTATCACTTTCCAATGCTGTAAATCGTTGGTGTCTTACTAGCGTTTGCGTATGTTGGCAGAAAAGAGATGGTGTAGAAAATGAGATCATTTTATTTTGATAGGTGATTCAATGCCACTTTATTCTAATTGGCGACTGAAAGTGATGGAGCATAATCAAGGAGAGCCACTACCCTTCCCACCAGCTGGAGGCTGCTGGTCACCACTGGTGGATTACTTGCCTGAAACGTCATCACCTGGATTACCTCTTCACAGGTGGACTACAGCATCATTCCTATTTCATACGAGCCAAATCGCTGCTTAATACTTTCAGCTTTCTTTATGCTATCTGACAACACAGAATAAAAGCCACTTCTCTCTTGACATGCTACAACAAATCAGATCCATGTGTTTAGATTTCGAGAAGTCTCAACACTCAGACCTCTGTTTACCATTAATACTGTTAAATCTACGTCTGCTGCTGCTTTTCTGGGTGTCTGGCATAGTTACTTGACCTTTCTGGGACCCAGTTACTTCCTCTGAAAAATATCTCGCAGTACTAGAGGCACTGTTGTTTGGAGTTGCGTTAAACTGAATTTTACTTAGCAGAATCACAGTAGAATAGTTACGGCATTCTTTCAAAATGTATTAATGTAACCAACACGTACTGAACACCTACTATGTGGCAAGCAGTGTGCTAGGTGTCAGGGTTGAAGATGAAGAAAATGTGGCCCTTGCCTTTGGGGAGCCCTTAGCAGGTAATGTTTTTTTCTAGAACCATCACTTAACGGTTTCTTCAGCTATATTTCTTTTCCTCTTTTTTTCTTGAGAAGTTGTATTTGTCCATAAAATACAATATTAAAGGCTGCAAGTAACTGGCATGAGATTCGCTCCAGGTTTACTCTGCTGCGACATTAACAGGCGTCTCGTTTGTCACAGGTGTAACATAGCTGTGATCCTTTTGACGGATCTGATCATTGACCACAGTGTGAAGGTGGAATGGGGAAGCTACCTCCATCTTCTTCTTCATGCAATTTTTATAGGTAATTAACGCTGGTTCTGACTCAACATGACGTTCTATTTCTGTGACAATTTAAAGGCAGTCTGGTTTTTTGGTATTTCTATTAACCGTTGTTTGGTACGTAACTCCCATGACACTTTTTACGGGCATTCTCATGGTCTAATAGGGAGTCAGTCCTCGCCTCTCTTGTAACCACAAACAGGTCTTCTCTTCGCGTTCCCGTTCTTGTCCTGTCGTCCCTCCACTGCTCACAAGCACAGTTACCGTCTAGCAGGAAAAGTTCGGCACCCACAGCAAGAGTAAAGTTAACTTACCTCTCAGACTGGAAATTTGCAGAGTAAAAGGAAAATTAAAATGGGGTCCAAGTATTTCTCAAAAGGATGGGATTGTGGACCGTCTGATTATTACAGCTGAAAGTCCACTGTGCCCTCAGTAGCAGTGGACTTTGAGCTGTAATAATCAGACGGTCCACAATAGGGACCATCTGTGGGATCCACCACAATACTTTTCATGCTTGTAGGATTGGCTTCCTGAAGAAAGTCAAGGTAGTCATCTTACCTGAAGTTTTCCTGATGTGCACATTTATTACTTCGATGTTTCAGTAATCAAACATCCACTGACTTTTCATTGTGCGCTAGGCACAAAAAATGCTTGCCTTTAAAAAAAAGTCATTTACATTGAGTATTCTGTCACAGAGTAATAATTTCTAGTAGGTTACTAAGTTTTAGACACAAGATGCATTGAAAACTTGTCTTGATTCCCCCTGCTAACTGTAAGACAATAGGCTATTGTTACAAACTCCAGGCCAATAAGAATTACCGTGTGGTACATCATCTTGTACAAAATATTTTCTGTATTTTCTGCTTTTCTTTAAAATATGCATTTGGGAGGTGCCTGGGTGGCTCAGTCAATTAAGCTTCCGACTTCAGCTCAGGTCATGATCTCCAGCCCGTGAGTTTGAGCCTCACATTGGGCTGTATGCTGACCGCTCCGAGCCTGGAGCCTGCTTCGGATTCTGTGTCTCCCTCTCTCTCTGCCCCAACCCCCTGCTGGCACTCTGTCTCTCTTTCTCTCTCTCCCTCTCTCTCCGTCTCTCAAAAATAAATAAAACATTTTAAAAAATAAAATAAAATATGCACTTGAAGGTAAGGGTACCTGTGATTTCTCTTCACTGACGATGATTTCCAACTGTCGTTCTCAGGGTCTGACCACTGCCACCCCGAGGTGTACGAGCACTGTAAGCGCCTGCTCCTGCACCTGCTAATAGTCACGGGACCCAGCAGTAACATCCGCGCTGTTGCCTCTGTCCTGCTCAGGAACAGGGAGTTTAACGAGCCCAGGGCGCTCACGGTCAAACAGACCGCGCACTTAGATTACACTTGCACAGGTATTTGCTTTAAACGTCCAGTTTGACAATGGAATCATGCTTCATTCATTTGGAAACTATAACAGAGAAAGTCAACTAAATAGAAGTTGAAAGGCTTTAAGTGTAGTTTTATGATTTTAAGTACCATTTACCTCATTAACTGGTAAAAGAATTAAACTCGGAGTATTTGAGTCTGTATCACCTGTAAGGGTCTTTCTTTGTCATGAGAATTTTAAGTTCTCAACATGCAGGTTGAGGATCAGTGAAACAGTGCTACGCTTACGGAGCACAGTTACCGAGAAGATGTTGAACCTGTATTACATTCCTCGTGCTCTCAAGATCTGAGAAATGAACAAAGCGAGACATTAACATTTTATTGTTCATTTGATTATGTTTACTGTCTTTAAAATGTTAGGCATTTTTAAGTCTAGTAAATTCCAAATTATACATTTGGAAGTAATGCGGTCCAAATTAATGAGACTTTATTTTTTTTATTATTATTATTTTTTTTCTTTCAACGTTTATTTATTTTTGGGACAGAGAGAGACAGAGCATGAACGGGGGAGGGGCAGCGAGAGAGGGAGACACAGAATCAGAAACAGGCTCCAGGCTCTGAGCCATCAGCCCAGAGCCTGATGTGGGGCTCGAACTCACGGACCGCGAGATCGTGACCTGGCTGAAGTCGGACGCTTAACCGACTGCGCCACCCAGGCGCCCCAATGAGACTTTAATATAAAAGTTATTTCACTATTGGTGTCATTTTTTTTTAAATTTACTTTGCAAGTTCTATTTTCTTCTTTCCTAATAGCCCTAACTTACTTATCCATTTGTCTGTATCATCAGGTTAATAATAGATGACCTAGAAAATAATTGTTTTTAAAAAATGAAATAAAATTACATTTCTTACTAATCATGTAATGTCAGATACAGGGTTAATGTTCTTTAGTGAAAACCCTGTGGTTAGTAAGAAAACAATTATTAGGAAACATTGCACCTTTTAAAATGTGGCTAAAATGTGAATAAAGTTTACTGTCTCTTTTATGTTAAAACATCTTTTTAAAAATTCCATAGTTGGTTTTTGTTGTTTGTTCTTAAGGCTTCTTTTGCCATTTTGTGACTATAGGCATTCGTAATAAAAAGAATTTAATAATTGACATAATATAAATATTACAAAGACTTTAAAATTGTCTTTCTTCAGGTAAAATGAAGTGGAAAGTGTAGAATCCTTTCCATAAGAAAAATCAGTTCACATTGTGGAAAAGACTGACTTAATACACATTGAGGCAATGTGCCGAAATATTAGGAAAGTGCCACTTTCAACTTTCTTCAGCAGATGGCAGCAAAAGACTTCACAGCAAACCCAAATAGCTAAGTTTTAATAATAGGCTGTGGGAGACAATGTTTGCCCCCCAAACTCACTTGATGGAATTTGGTGCTTATGAGGTTCCCGCAGAAGTAGTGCTGATTTGTATCAGCTGACAGCAACAGATTCCCTGATGTGTCCCACATAACCTGTAAGGAAGGATAGTTTGACGCTTTCAATAGTATATGAGATCCTTTCATGTCTGGGTATTGACGGCCATCTTTCTTTTACAGCGGGCGTTAGTGATTTTATACCTGATTACCAGCCCTCCCCTATGACTGACTCAGGGCTTAGCTCAAGTTCTACCTCTTCTAGTATCAGCTTAGGAAATAACAGCGCTGCCATTTCCCATCTACACACCACTCTCCTCAATGAGGTCGACATCTCCGTAGAGCAGGATGGAAAAGTCAAAACCCTCATGGAATTCATTACCTCAAGGTAACGTTACAGCTCTCACCATTCTGGCAACATACCTGTGTTAAGTCATTCTTTTTTGTCAGCTACAGTGAACCCTGTTTTTGATTTCTCGTGTGCCACTGATTGGGAATACACACGTTTGTATTGGGTGTAGAAACTTAGAAACTTGGATGCCTCCAAAGACTTTCTCCTGTTGTGCTCACACAGTTATACTGGAGGAGGGCCTCAAGTGTGTCTGGATACCAGGTACCCAAAGAGAATACAGTCTTACCTGAATACATATTCCACTTCCATTAGTTACATTATCAGTCAGTCGTCAAATATTTATTTATGATCGCCTGCTCTTTGCAAGGCACAAGTATAGAAGAAATGGATGGGGAGAAAGAAGGGGGGCTGGTGTCCCACAGCAAGAGAGCGAAACCATCAGGGGCTTGAGAAATAAAGTATTGGAAATGGCGAGTAACCCAGTCTGACTGTAATGCTGAGGGAAAAGTTTCTGGACAAGAAAACTTTGTAGTCCAGGGAGAAGTCAAACTGGAGGGCTTTGAGGCCTCAGCCATAGGCTACAGATCTTTCAAGAAAGCAGACGTTATTGAAAATCCTGGAGCTGGATGGGAAGGGTGAGAAGCACAATTAAAGAAATAGGTTGAGAAAATCAGTCTCGGAGCAATGAACAGGATGAATTAGAGCTGTCAGATACTGGTGGCTACGTGACCACAAAGGAGGTTTTCAGGGCACTTTGGGCCTGAGGTGATATGGGGTTGAACCCTTACTAACCAAGGCGGCAGCCTTGAGAATGCAAAGATGGTTTAAAGAAAGAGTCAACAGGAAACCGTGCTCTCTTAAACTTATGCTGGATCTTCAGCTAGTAAATTATTTCCTTCGCATTGCAATCTAAATACATTCTAGCCTCTCCAAATTATACTGCTGTGACCTATGACACATAAGCAGTTCCCAGTGCTCTTCTCACTTTGTAAAAGTCTGTCATCCTTTCCTACCACCTCTGAGAGAGTCTAACTGTAATGATGGAAGACTGAAATCGCATGTAGCCTGGATCTTCCTCTCCTTGCCGTAGACCATCACATGCTCAAGTACGTAAATAGTAGTCGACTGTGCGACGTGCTGCTATTTGGCTTAGCCCACTACTGTCCTTTCTTATGGCAAATGCACATCTAATGTAACTGTGAGTAAAACCGTTAATGTAAGTTGAAAACCACGGGCATTATGTCTGTTCTCTGTTTTCAGAAAAAGAGGGCCCCTTTGGAACCATGAGGATGTTTCTGCCAAGAATCCTAACATCAAGAGTGCTGAGCAGTTAACTACATTTTTGAAACATGTGGTTTCTGTTTTTAAGCAGTCAAGCTCAGGTATCTTTCATTAAACAGTTCAGATAGTACTTTCAATGAGACTTTTTCATGTGATGCGAAAACTTCTGGTCATGTGTAGCAGTGAGTTGACAGTTGAGAAGTCTAAAGTGAAAAGTTTTAGACAGGTCTTCTTTTTGAAGTTATTAGTGATGATGGATAGCTTTTGATTAAAGGAAAATTAAGTTATTCCTTGGAAAATTAAGTTACTCCTTAAAAAATAAGACAGCCACTTGTGACATTCCAGGGTGCTTCATTTTGTGTGTGGTGGCATAATAAAGTTACAGGGCAGTTGTGTATTATGAAACGATTACATTAAAGGAACATAGATGGAGAGGACAAACTTGAATTCTTTTTTATACAGTCGGTGGCTTCTGTGATCTGAAATCAACACATTCTGAAAGTTACTGTAAAAAAACCGTATCTGTCTAAAGTAGTGGTTCTCAACTAGAGGTGATTTTGCCCCTCGCTTCATGTTTTCTCTCTCCTTCTGCTCCTCTCCCCCACTCATGCCCTCTCTCAAATAAAATAAATAAATAAATACTTTTTTTTTTTTTTTTTAAAGATTACAAAACAAGTAAGTAAAATGCAAATGGAGTTTAATGGAAAGAAAAAACTTTGCCATAAAGCCTGAGTGCCTGCCCGGTTTGCCAGGCACTGTGCTGGGCACCGGGTTTAAAATGGTTAGTGGCTGATGATAACCCTGCATTCCAAGCAACAACAACACTCACTTGTTTCCTTTGTCTTCACAGAAGGAATGCATTTGGAACATCATCTTAGTGAAGTTGCTCTACAAACAGCACTTTCTTGTTCTTCTCGACACTATGCTGGGAGATCCTTCCAGATTTTCAGGGCCCTAAAGCAGCCTCTTTCTGCAACTACACTTTCTGATGTTCTCTCCAGACTTGTAGAAACTGTAGGGGATCCGGGAGAAGATGCACAGGTATTGCATTAAATTCCTTCAGCAGCCATTGAGCAGCTACTCATTGTCAAGGACTCATTTGCCAAGTACAGAGCACTGCAGGGCAAGCAAGATAATGGTTACACGGCATTGGCATCAAATGCCAACAAGCAGGCAAAGAATTAAGAAACAAAATTTTGTACGTGATACTTAATAACATACTAATCGAATCACATACTTCAGTGCGAATCAGAGAAAGCTTTACATTTACACACACACATACGGCCCACACTTGCATATTATCCTGGGATTTAAATGTAAATGTAGGGGGGCGCCTGTGTGGCTCAGTCGGTTAAGCGTCCGACTTCAGCTCAGGTCACGATCTCGCGGTCCGTGAGTTCAAGCCCCGCGTCGGACTCTGGGCTGATGGCTCAGAGCCTGGAGCCTGCTTCCGATTCTGTGTCTCCCTCTATCTCTGACCCTCCCCGTTCATGCTCTGTCTCTGTCTCAAAAATAAATTAAAAAAAAAAAATTAAAAAAAAAATAAATTTAAATGTAGAGTGTTGAGTTGTTAAGGTAAATTAAGTGAAATAATGCAATAGAGAACTTAAGTCTATGCAGACTAATGATTTTATTAACACTGTTCTAGACACTGGGGATCTGGTAGCAACCAAGTTCCTGGCATTCTGGAGCTCACGTTCTGTTGGAGAAATAAGCCTCTAATCCACCACTAATATGTAACACACTTTTATTTAGAGATTATTGCTATGAACATAATAAGGTAGAATAATGGGTTAAGGAGCAGTATGGGAGAGGGAGTTGTTTTATATGTGACCATCTGAGACGGTGAGTTTTAAACACGTACGTAAGTGAAGTGAGTCCTGTGATAATACGGAAGAATATTTCAGGCAGAGAAATAAGAGTAGTGAGTGCAAAGGCCCTGAGGCAGAAGCAACAAGCCTATTTTTGAGGAACATGAAGCAAACCAGTATGGCTAGTTTATTGGATGGTGTGTCTAGCATCTGAAGATCGATGGGGACAGGTCCAGATTATGTGGGGTCTAGGGAGAGGTGACATTTTACTTGTAAGTGATGGCGAACAGTACTCACAGGCCTTGAGAGGAGGGTGATGGATATAGTTTGCGATTTAAAAAATTCACTCTGGAGGCTAGGTAGAGTCCTCAGGAGGGCAATAGGAGTCATTTAAGAGGCCGTTGTAAAAGTCCACGCTGAAATGGTGGTAGTTTAGCTGACGGGACGCTATGGAAGTGTGGAGGGGGGTCATCAGATTTCAGATATATTTTAAAGTAGTATTTTCAAGACTTGCCAACGGACTTAACTTAGACGTGAGAGAAAGAAACAAAAATGACTCGTAGATTTTTGGCCTAAGCAATTTTGGGTGGATCGTGGTGCCATTATAACCATTAGTTTGAGGAGTTTTCATCAATCAGCAAGATCATGTTGCTCAAGAGTTTAATCATTTTGTAATGTTAATGTTGAGTTTGTTCTAATTTTAAATCTCCTCGGGAAGTCCATTCTAATTTCCTTTTTTTCCAAAGCGTAATGAATTAAGACCTGCCTTTTCTCCTAGGGGTTTGTGATCGAACTCCTGCTCACATTGGAGTCTGCGATTGACACTTTGGCCGAAACCATGAAGCATTACGATCTTCTTTCTGCCCTTTCTCAGTAAGAATTGCATCCAGGCGAACTGTACATTCGTCTACAGAACTGCCATAGCTGAATACGCAGAACCATAACGTTAAGTTATCCTAATATTGCTGGTGGGAATGATACCAAAACATTCCGATGGACCAGCAGTGGGAAAAGGAGCCTCGGACAGGGAGCCCATGCGAAAAGTCCCAGCGCTCTGTGTGGCGGTGGTGTTCTTGTAATGGCCCGGTCAGGGGTCCTTCTGCTGCCGCGTGACTCGGCTTCAGCCTCACTGCCCGGTTCCGTTCCCGCTGCGCTCGACATCCCCTTGCCCCACAGCAGGCCGGCCCCCTCCTGACTCACACCTTCCACAAATTGCTCCTCTCCTCCAGCTTTCTCTTCCTTGCACCTCCTGAATCGATTTATCCTTCAAGACCCATCTTGGATGTTTCTAACTCCCCGAGGGCAGCGCTATACTTACTCCATTTTGGGGGTTCCCACGGTGTTTTCTTCATATTTGAATAAAGCAAGTAACGAGCAGTAAAGTTTTACATACCCATCTCCCCCAGCAGACTTCAGTATTCCTAGCTTTTCCATACTCCTGGCACATACAGGAAGCATTCTGTCATTATTTTTAAATCTGTGATAATTGGATGTGAGGGAGGAGAAATCAAACATACATTTTTGAGCTTGATTTGGGGGCGGGGGGGGTGGCGGGTAAAGAGTGTGCATTAACAGAAATAAGGATATGGGGACCATCAAGTTTGGGGAGAAGACAAATGAGGTCTGCTTTGGATGTAATGTTCACTAAATCCCAGAGCTGAAGGTGGTCAGTGATAATGGTAGCAGAATTTTCGCTTCAAATCAAACGCCGTCCAACTCACAGGAAACAGTTGGCCACAGTAGGAAAGAGACTGTTGTCCATTTTGCTTTAATATGGAGGAAAGGGCTGAAATTTGATGAAGCGAAGTCAGATACTGAAACATAATTTGTCCTGGTAACAGTTACTGTTTTTTTTCAGTGTCTTTGAGAGTAAATAATGTAGCCAAAGAAGCGATTGTACATGCATTTATTTTCCTTTCTTTTTTTTTATTTTTTTTGTAAAGAACCTCATACCGTGATCCTCTAATGGGAAACAAGTATGCAGCTAACAGGAAAAGCACTGGACAACTCAATCTAAGCACAAGTCCCATTAACAGCAGCAGTTATTTGGGATATAACAGTAATGCAAGAAGTAACTCTTTGAGATTAAGTTTAATTGGTGACCGAAGAGGTGACCGGCGGAGGAGTAACACACTGGACATAATGGATGGACGGATAAACCATAGCAATAGTTTAGCAAGGACTAGAAGCCTTTCCTCCCTGCGAGAGAAAGGCATGTATGACGTGCAGTCCCCTACTGAGCCTGCCAACTTGATGGCCACCATTTTTTGGATAGCAGCATCGCTATTAGAATCGGATTACGAATATGAATACCTCCTGGCTCTCAGGCTTCTCAACAAACTGCTTATCCATTTGCCTTTGGATAAATCAGAGAGTCGAGAGAAGATTGAAAATGTACAAAGCAAATTGAAATGGAGTAACTTCCCAGGCCTTCAGCAGCTCTTCCTTAAGGGTTTTACCTCAGTATCTACACAAGAGATGACCGTGCACCTCCTCAGTAAACTCATCGCCGTCTCCAAGCACACGTTGGTGGATCCTTCCCAGTTGTCAGGTGATGTTAACAGAATTGCACCAGCTCTCTGCTTTCTAGTGTAGTGAAATGTAAACTAATCATTTGTTTTGAACTCTAATTTCTGCTTTTCCACAAATGATCATGGGTTGCTGCTGCCGCTGTTGTTGTTATTGTTGTTGTTGTTGTTGTTTTTAATATGTGAGATAGCTTAAATTCTTTGGTAAAAGCAAAAAAAAAGAAAGAAAGCATTTAGAAGATCAGGCACTCCAGGAAATAAAAAGAAAATGGTTTCCGTGAACCATTAAAAAAAAATACCTTGAATTTTTTTAAATAATGTGCAATAAAAATTGGTTATTGTTTGCTTTTTTTTTGATAGGCTTTCCTCTTAACATCCTTTGCTTATTGCCTCACTTAATCCAGCATTTTGACAGCCCAACTCAGTTTTGCAAAGAAACAGCTAGTCGAATAGCAAAGGTAAGCAAATGTTACGCTGAAAGATAAACGCTAGCGGGAAATTTCTCTGGAGTTTACCTTAAAGGGGGGAATCTCTTAAAAATCTTTTACCGTCACTTCCGCTGTGAATTTCACATCTTTTTATTCTTTTCCTCCATATAAAGGAGTTTTGCAGTCATGATGTAAGCTACCACTGTTCAAATCACAGTGAATAAAATTATTTGTTTAGAGTAAAGCTCCGCTGAGTCTGAGTCTTTTTCGGTTCCCTTTCCCTACTTTTGTCTTCTGCTTCTCTATCAGTTTCCAATTCATTCCTTTGTTCACCACCAGATATTTGCTGAGCACTGGGTCAGGTGCCAGAAATGCAGTGATAATCAAAGCAGACAGAGTACCTGCCCCTGTGGGCCTTACACTAGGGGTATAATAGTAGACAGGGGCCATAGAGTCTGTCTGATAAGTGCAGTGAAAGGACAGTACTCTCGGGGCACAGAAAGCAACAGTCCGCCTAGAGGAGATCCTCTCAAAGCCGACACTGCAGACTGAATAGGAGTAACCAAACTAAGATCCCTGGATGAGAAACAAGGAACGACAGGGCCGAGGGTAGAAGTTTTCCAGGCATGAGAAATTGCATGTGCAAAGGCCCTGAGAAGAAGAGGGCAAAACACATTTTGTGGCTCCGAAAGTTCTCTCTTCTTTTATTTTTGCCTTTTTTTTCTTTAAACATTCTCTTCGTCTCTCTTTGCTGGCTTCATCCTTTCCCCTTCCTTATTTGGCTCTTTCCCTCCCATTGTTTCTGAAACAGGAACGTAGCTATTTTTAAGTCATCTGTTAACATTTGCTCGAAAGTGTTAGAGCTCTTGATCAGACTTTTAAAAAAGATGATCTTTAAAAATAATTTCCTCTCAAGAAAAATAACCCAAATAACTTGCCTTCTGCTTAAACTTAATTCTTAATTTTCTTTCTTTTCTTTCTTCTTTCTTTCTTTCTGTCTTTCTTTCTTTCTTTCTTTCTTTCTTCTTTTTTTGTCAGTTAATGAGTCTTAGGAAAAAAGGCTTTAACAACTGAAAATATAGACAGTTATAAGGAGTTCTATAAATTTACAAGTCCTATACATACAGCAGGAAATTAAGTGAACTGGGGGGGGAGGAGTATAAGATAGCAGTATAAGATAACCTAGCTAAAGCAGGGGGAGGAAAAGCAGAGAAATCTTCAACAGAAGGGAATAAGCAAGTAAAATTCTCTGGAAGAGCTTTTTCTGTAAGCAGCCCTTTAAAAGCTGAGGGTTATTTAACAAAAGTAACACAGCAGTAAGGGGAAAGAGCAAGCATGCAGAAAGCCAGGTAAAACACCCACTTCTCCAGTGCCCAAATTCCATGACTGGTAAGTGCAGATTTCTCCCCGGGTTATCCCAGCCCAATTAATCACATTAAGAGTCACAAAACTAGAACCCTTTTGTTATCTTGATAGATAATATTTAATAAGTGGCAAGATCATATGTAATAAAATATGCTGTTGAATCCATCCCTCAGTAAATTTCTAAATTAGATAGGGAGAGATTTTTAACATAATCATTTTAAAAGCATGTATTTTAAAAAAAAGAGCCATTATTATAGTTAGTGGAAACATCTTAATTTTGAAAAGGATTGCCCTAGGGGCGCCTGGGTGGCGCAGTCGGTTAAGCGTCCGACTTCAGCCAGGTCACGATCTCGCGGTCCGTGAGTTCGAGCCCCGCGTCAGGCTCTGGGCTGATGGCTCAGAGCCTGGAGCCTGTTTCCGATTCTGTGTCTCCCTCTCTCTCTGCCCCTCCCCCGTTCATGCTCTGTCTCTCTCTGTCCCAAAAATAAATAAACATTGAAAAAAAAAATTTTGAAAAGGATTGCCCTAAACACCCAACAACACATATTTGCATAATGAGGTCTGAAAGTGGTACAAAATAATTTATTAAAATACCTTTCCTTTTAGTATCCTAATGATACATCACTAGAAAAATGTTGTAAAGATGTATTTTTTTTTTTTTCACGAGAGATAAGAAAGAACATATAAAGGGGAAAAAAGTATATTGGCTTACTTTGGGATTTCAAAAAATAAAAAGCATGAATCCTGTCATCAGGGAAGTAGAGTAGGAGCATTTAGAATGGCAGGTGACACTTCCCGTCTGAGAACTTCCTGCTGAATGCTGGCATAAAAGAAGAACTCAGCCCAGCCCAGCCCGAAGGATGTGGGCACCCTTCAGGGGGTCAGGCCTCTGCCGTCTTGACCAGGGCAAAGCACAGGAAAGTCCCAGATACCTTTTTGTTTCTAAGAAATCAAACATGGCTTTGTGTGCGTCATAAATTGTCGTTAAGTCTGTTTTCTTCCTGTTGAGCAGCACACAAAGGTTCCTTCCCTCGGCTTTCAGCAACCTGCAGGATGTGAATTAAATGGATTCCTTAATTATTCTCTCACTTAAACTGTTGAGAGCAATTTTCTGCCATTATGTGCTTCCTCATTATGCAAATATCCCTAGTTCTGTTTGTGCCCTTGGAGAGCACAGGATTTCAAAGCGAGGCAACACTTAGGACAAATATTGTCCTTTTAAGCTATTCATTATGGCAAAAAATAGTATGCTAAAAATGTTTGCTTATAAGACAGTCTTTTGAAGTCATATTTTAACCTGGTAATTCAAAATTTCCAAAATTAAATCCAGATTTAGCCATTTTCTTTAAAATTACACAGCATACATTCCTAGGAATTTTCTTCCTTTTCAATTAAAGGTTTTTAAAAATCATGCTTTAGGGGCGCCTGGGTGGCTCAGTCGGTTAAGCATCTGACTTCAGCTCAGGTCACGATCTCACGGTGCGTGAGTTCGAGCCCCGCGTCAGGCTCTGGGCTGATGGCTCGGAGCCTGGAGCCTGTTTCCGATTCTGTGTCTCCCTCTCTGCCCCTCCCCCGTTCATGCTCTGTCTCTCTCTGTCCCAAAAATAAATAAACGTTGAAAAATAAATAAATAAATAAATAAAAATAAAAATCATGCTTTAATGCAACTCTTTGTCTTGGGGTCTTGAGTTCAGGCCCCCCATAGCATGTAGAGATTAAACAAATAAAAAGATCATGCTTTAAAAACCTATTTTTTTAAGAACATAAGAATCCTAGAAGAATTTTTCAGGAAGATACACACTTTAAAATTTTACTTTACAGAAATTACTTTAATGGGGCACCTGGGCGGCTGAGTCGGTTCAGCATCCAGCTCCTGATTTTGGCTCAGGTCACGCATGATCCCTGGGTCGTGGGATGGAGCCCTGCTTATGATTCTCTGTCTCTCCCTCTGCCCCTCTCCCTGCTCACATTCTCTTTTTGTAAAAAAAAAATCAAAAAGAACTTATTTTAAAATATAAAAATTATTCCTAAAAAATAACAAATTGTGAAATGATAAAATTATGTGATTTAAAAAAAATAGATGATTAATTATATTTTGAAATACAAATGAGAAACAAATTTATTTTCTTCCTAGTGTATGTTTTATAGGTAAAAGGGTAATTAATACATGAAGCTAACTACTTTAAATAATTTTATTAAGCAGCTTTTAAGTTACTTTTCGTGGTCTTCACAGCCTTACATATCTTCATATTTCAGGTCTATCCAATGATAATGTCCTCATGATGAATCAAAGTAATAGTTATATTCATGTGAAAGTTGAAAAATATATGTATTTTAAAAGGTAATTTTCTACAGTTGACCTTGAACAACACAGGGGTTATGGGCACCAACCCCCCCCCCCCCCCCCCCCCCGCACAGTTGAAAATCACATATGACTTTTTACTCCCCCAAAACATAATTACTAATATCCTGTTAACTGTAAGCCCTACCAATAACACAAACAGGTCAATTAACACATATTTTGTATACTATATGTATACTGTATTCTTACAATAAAGTAAGCTAGAGCAAAGAAAATGTTACTAAGAAAATCATAAGAAGAGAAAATAGGCTTACAGTACTGTACTATACTTACCGAAAAGAATCCACATATAAGTGGACCCACACAGTTAAATCCCATGTTGTTGAAGGGTCAACCATACTTTCTTTAATAAATGCTCTAGGTTTGGGGTGCCTGGGTGGCTCAGTCAGTTGAGCCTCCGATTTCAGCTCAGGTCATGATCTCACCCTTGTGGGTTCCAGCCCTGCGTTGGGCTCTGTGCTGACAGCTCAGAGCCTGGAGCCTGCTTCGGATTCTGTGTCTCCCTCTCTCTGCTCGTCCCCTGCTTGCACTCTGTCTCTCTCAAAAATAAATAAACATAAAAAAATTTTTAAATAAATGTTCTAGGTTTGTGAAAATACATAACAAAACATCAATGAGATGGTAGAATAAATGAGGAAAACGAAAAACGGAAAAGTAGACGGTATTTCAGGGACAGCTCTGTGATAGGTGGGAATGAAAGAATAGTGTGGCCCTTTCCCCAGTTCTGCATTATTCAGGTGCCCCCCAGAGCAGACTAAGGAACATCCTCACCAGTAACTCAGGGAACAAGCAAACAAGGTACATGTGATCAGTAAGATCCTCCCAAACATTTTTGTTTTTTAATGTTTATTTTTGAGAGAGAGACAGAGCAAGCATGAGCAGGGGAGGGGCAGAGAGAGGGAGAGACAGAAAATCCCAAACAGGCTCCACGTTGTCAACGCAAAGTGTGATATTGGGCTCGACCCCATGAACGTCCTAAGCCGAAGTTGGACATTCAACCGACTAAGCCACCCAGGCATCCCCCACAAACATTTATGGATTCAGTTTCCATAATGTTGTATCAAACAAATTCTAGGAGGCCAATACATTTTGAAGTGACATTAAATTACTGGCCAAGGACCTTAGGAGCTTATTTCCTGAAGAGCAGTTTGGGGTCTATCCTACAGGTTGTCTGTCATTCACTGCAGGTGCAGGACTTAGCTCTATCAGAGCTCCCATAGAGTCTTTTGAATATGTCACACATGTGAGCGGCTCTGCAGTTGACTGCTCCCCTGAAGGGGTGGGGAGGGGGGCACAGGGAAGGGAAGGTCTGGGGCTGGTCCCAACCTGGCTGCAAACTCCTCAGTGGAGACTGCTTGTTTCGTTATTGTGCACTGAACCATGCAGGGATTTTACAAAACAGTTATAAAATGATATGTAGCATTTACAAAACTCTGTAGGGGTTTTACCAAAGGCAGTTTTACAGAGCCTCAGGAATACCTTGTGCTTTTTTTCCTCTTTTCTTGTCCTCTCTTATTTAACTTTTCTACTGGACTAAAATAAAATGCATTAAAGCTTCAACACCTACCTCTAAATTTTTAAATAAATACATTTAGTATAAAATCAAGTTTAAACCTTAAATTGCCTTTATTTGGGGTGAATGACACTATTTTCTTTGTTTTTTAGGTGTGTGCAGAAGAGAAATGCCCAGCGCTGGTCAATCTGGCTCACATGATGAGTTTGTATAGTACACACACATATTCCAGAGACTGTTCTAACTGGATCAACGTAGTATGTAGATATCTGCATGATTCCTTCTCAGATACTACATTTAATCTTGTGACTTATCTTGCAGAGGTAAATTTATCAAAAAAAAAAAAAATGTAATTTTTTTTAACTGTGGCAAAATTTTCACGTAGATTTATTTCTAGAAGCAGTACTGATACTAATTAATCTTTAAATTGTGTTTGAAAGTGAATACAGATAACATTTTTTAAAAGTAAAATATGGGTAATTCCTTTCCAGTATAAAGAAAGTATAAAGCATACTTTCAAGTATAAAGGGTTTTTTTGTTTTAATTTTCATTTTCAGTGTTTATTTTCTCATTCACTGTCCTCAAGTGATATCAACTCAAAATAAGATAAACTTTACCTTTTATTTAAAATATTAAATAAATATATTAACACTTAAATATATTTTCATATTCACTGTCCTTAAGTGACATAAAACTCAAAATAATGTAAACTACACCTTTATGTCAACTAAGAAATGGGTTTTCAGGGGTCTTGATCCTAGAGAATGGTTATAATTTTTTGTTTGTGAAAAATTAGTTCTTGACTGTGAAATCCTATCTAGAATAAAACGGCGTGCAAAGGCATTTTTGCTGGGTAAGTTCTTATTTTGATAATATGTTTGCTCCCTGATCTAAGATATGATTTGAGTGGCTAAAGATGGAATTACAAAAACACTAGCCCTACAATATCATAAAAAGTTAATATCAGGGTGCCTGGGTGGCTCAGTTGGTTGAGCAGCCAACTCTTGATATCGGCTCAGGTCGTGATCTCCCAGTCACGAGATCAAGGCCTACATTTGACTCCAGGCTAAGCATGGAGCCTCCCTGGGATTCTCTCTCTCCCTCACTTTCTATACCCCTGCTCGCATGCACTCTGTCTCTCAAAAGAAATGAACATTTTTTTTGAAAAAGTTAATTTGGTTGGTGAGAAAGTAACTTCATGCCTAAAAAATAAATTATTGAGTAGATAATCCACAAAGAATCTCAAAAGGAAGAAATTCCTACTCACTAAAAATTTTTGTCAGCTTATAATAAAGTGATACCTTCCTTTTTAAAAACTGACCTCTAAAAATTACCCTAAAACACTGTATAAACTTAAAAAATTATTCATAACTCAATAGGTATTTTAAATATGGCTGAAAACACTATTTAACAGCTATATCCCTGATGTTGATATAGAACACAGAATGCTTTAGGACTATCATAAAAACCAGTTTCGGACTGGTGTGCATTTTTAAGGTGTTGGTTTGATAGGTTTGCTCCCATCAACCTTACATTTAAGAGAGCTGATGATGGCAGAGAGCGGTGCCTGGCTGGCTCAGTAAGTGGAGCACGCAACTCTTGATCTCGGGTTTGTGAGTTCGAGGCCCACATTGGGTATAGAGATTACTTTAAAAAAATAAAAAATCTTAAAAAAAAAAAAGGTGAACTGACGATGTGAACTGTGTGACAGCTTTCTAACCTGAATAAATACAGGTCTCTAGGTTTATCTTACACCCTTAGGACAATAGCCAACATAAAACCAAGGGCAACTTCCTAAGCCTGTTCTTATCGGCTTTGAGTTTATGCTCCTTAGACCAGCTTCACGTTGGTGCCACCATCAAGCTCACCACTAAGGTAGCACTGCTTCTCCAATCATGGGGTCATGAAGTCTGGAACTGGCACAGGACAGCCTGTATATACCTCGTATGGTGACATTTTTTCACTCTATAGAGAGAATGCTTTGCCCCAAATGTTACTCTCCTTGTTTTATTATTACTGTTAATTCTGAAATTATTCCTAACAACAGTACTGAAACTAGTTGTGTATATTTAGAACCACATATATTTAATCATCCTGCAAACAATATAAAGTAGATAGTGTGATTATTATTTAAAAAAAAATCATGGCTCAGAGGTTAAGAAACTTGTCTAAGATCACATAGTTAACAAGTGGCTGTTATGAATGGTTTGGGGATAGTTATTCTTTGGTGATGGTGGTATGATGGTTTTTTTCTTAACCTAGAATAAGTGGTGTTTAACTCAAATTAGCTCAGGAAATGAAGGAAAACACTAAGATTAAGATAAAAATAATTATCTATTGATCCTTTCTGAACCGAGGACAAGTGATGGTAATAAGACACTGTCTTTTACCTTTGTTATTTATTAGTCTCTGGATTTCTGATCATCTAACCATAAAATCATGGATTAAATCTATTCTGTTTTTCAGCATCATAAATATAAATACTGAATTTTCCTTAACCTCATGAAATTATACTCTTTATATTACTTTTAGCTGTTAGAGAAAGGATTGTCCAGCATGCAGCAGTCATTACTACAGATCATCTATAGTCTTTTGAGCCATATTGACCTCTCTGCTGCCCCGGTCAAGCAGTTTAATCTGGAGATCATAAAGATTATTGGTAAATATGTACAGGTGAGTGACCACAAAATTTATGTATAGAATTCCTTGTAAAACAATCCTATGATCATAAAAAAAAAAAAAAACACTTGAAAGGTCCAAGAATAGGGAAGTAGTTAGTCCCTAAGTCATGTTTCCAGGAACACTTATGACATGGAAAAAATGTTCTTCATGTAAGTGACAAAAAGCAAACTCGGAATGGCAGGATTGGTGTGATTTCCAATTTTGATTAATCGTTACATCTCTGAATACACATGTCAGTAGTGGCTGGAAAGAATGTACTTGAGTGGCAGCTGTTATCACCTCCGGACAGTATACTTGTGACTCTTCTGTACCCGCTACTAACCAGATTCTAATAATGAACAGGTACTACGTTTAGAAACAGAAGAGCTCTTTGTAGAGTCTGTATTTTAGAGGTATTTTCTGTGTCTGATAGAAGGAGCCCAGATACTTAGAAAGTAGGAAATCAGACTTGGTTTAAACCACGTAAATGATGGTAAGTCAGTCTGGTCTGTACTGAATTTCACCTTTGAATTATCTGTTAAGAAAGGTCTTGCTGAGCAGAGCAGTGTTGTGGATACAATTTATCAAAGAGAGCAAACTCTTTAAGAGCCTTAACAGATTAAGATTTTTGTTTCTACCCCAGTTATATTTGCATTCAAGAAAGCAAAACTTACAAATGGAAATACTTGGTTAGCGATGAATTTGTCTTAGCCCATATCTGAAAGTAATAAAATGCTATTGGTTTCCATTATTCCGTTCAGTAATCCAGATTCCTTTTATATTCCCTTGAAGATCAGTGAATGCAAATAACGTTAAAATTCTTTGGTGACCCTGTTTATTTTCTCTATCTTCTCTCTGAATGAGAGGCTTCACCAAATAACAATTGTATGTATTTTTTTCTAAAGCACATTTTTCTTTTCTTCTTAAGGTATAAGAAGTTAACTCATCAAGTATTTGCTGGGTCTCCCATAGAGACACACACCACATTGAATTACTAATTAAAAAAAATGCAGATGCATTATTTTATATTCAGAACCACAAGCTCACGTGTCCACTGGGCAAGCAAGTAACCATATGAGGGCATAGATTTCTGACTAAGTGAAGGCACACTCCGCATCTAAAAGGAACAGCACAACTTAGCTTCCCCTCCTGGCTGCCATGTTGGAATACAGAATCCAGGGCAGCCAGAACTTCTAACTTTTAAAGAGAAACTGGAAATGTGGGTTTTTCTGTAAAATCTCCTAATTTCAAAATGTTGACCCAAATTTATTTTCAACTCTTGTGTGAACCGAAGTCATATTTAGCTGACAGGTCATCATGGTTAAGTGACATCTGCTTTATTCAGACATTAAACATTTCACAGAATGGAGCTCCTCCTGATAATCTTTTGTATTTTAGGCACAACTACCAATATACTTTATAGAAACATCTCTGAAAAAGTTTTAGCTTTTTGCAATGCCGAGAGCTTCTAATTATTTCTGTCAGAAAAAAATGATGATGTCTACTTAGTCATAACTTTGTTAAATATAAACTACTTTAAAAAAATGATGTACTTGGGGCGCCTGGGTGGCTCAGTCGGTTAAGCGGCCGACTTCGGCTCAGGTCACGATCTCGCGGTCCGTGCGTTCGAGCCCCGCATCGGGCTCTGGGCTGATGGCTCAGAGCCTGGAGCCTGCTTCCGATTCTGTGTCTCCTTCTCTCTCTGCCCCTCCCCCGTTCATGCTTTGTCTCTCTCTGTCTCAAAAATAAATAAAACGTTAAAAAAAAAAATGATGTACTTAAAATGTCACAATCTATGTGGACATTTTTATATTTATTAAATATTTTGTGCTTTAGGTGTCTTCATATCAAGAGGTTATTAAACATATTGGATAACTCAGTTCTGCCAAAGATTTTTCCCTTACTTTTGGTCGTTGACAGAATGGTCAGCTGTGAAACAATATGTATAGCACAAGGTTGAGATGTGATTATGTTACCATAAATCAGAAAAAAAGGTTTTTTGACATGTATGCTTTTCTTTTTTTTTTTAAATTTTTTTTTCAACGTTTATTTATTTTTGGGACAGAGAGAGACAGAGCATGAACGGGGGAGGGGCAGAGAGAGAGGGAGACACAGAATCGGAAACAGGCTCCAGGCTCTGAGCCATCAGAGCCCAGAGCCTGACGCGGGGCTCGAACTCACGGACCGCGAGATCGTGACCTGGCTGAAGTCGGATGCTTAACCGACTGCACCACCCAGGCGCCCCGACATGTATGCTTTTCAACAGATGGCAGAAAAATACTGTAAATTCTTTATTAGAAATTGATTTTTCTTCTCTACAAGTACATCTTTTTTTTTAGCTTTTTAAAAACCTTTTTACTGTAGAAAATTTCAAATAAATATAAAAATAGAATATGTAATGAATGCTTCCTTTTGTACCCATCACACAGCTCAACAATCAGCTCATTATTCTGTTTCATTTCTATTCTCCTCACTCCTATTACCCCTCCGGATTATGTTGAAGCAAATCCCAGACATCATACCATTTTATTCATACATAATTTTTAAGTTTCTCTAAAAGATAAGGACTTTTAAAATAATATAACCATATTAACATTATCACCATTAACAGGATAAACATTAATTCTTTAATATTTACAGGTACATCTGCCATGTAAATCATTTTAAATTATGTTGGTCGAAATACACAAAAACTGAAAGCAGAAAAATAACTCAAAGAACATAGCCACCATATGTGTAGGTGGAAAAAACTCACCCTATACAACTCAGTAACTCCTGAGAACATCAGTTTAGATGTAATGATTAATCAAAATTAGGAATCATTCCGATCCTACCCTTCAGATTTGGGCTTGGGTCATGGAGAAAAAAATCTAAATTCTTTTTAGTTTTTTTAAATATTTTTGTGTCTGAAAAAGAAAGTAGGCATTAAAAATTATTTGCCTTGGGGCTCCTGGGTGGCTCAGTCGGTTAAGCGTCCGACTTCACCTCAGGTCACGATCTCGCGGTCCGTGAGTTTGAGCCCCGCGTCGGGCTCTGGGCTGATGGCCCAGAGCCTGGAGCCTGCTTCCGATTCTGTGTCTCCCTCTCTCTCTGCCCCTCCCCCGTTCATGCTCTGTCTCTCTCTCTGTCTCAAAAAATAAATAAACGTTAAAAAATAAATAAATAAAAATGATTTGCCTCCAAGACTTCAAAAAAGACTTATTTAAAGTTTAGAGTCTGAAAGCATAAACTTCATTTATCTAGAAAGTTCACGTACATACAACCCCTTTGTTTAACCTACTGCCAGATTACTCTATTAGACTTCCTAAATTAAATTAATATTTGTGAAGCACCAATTAGGAGAAATGCAATACCAATTCTGAATTGGTAGCGTTGTAACGTATAGGATGTCTCCAAAATCTGACAGTAGAAATAATAATTTTCTTAACTTTCGTAACTCAGATCCTCTGCTAAGGACCTGAAAGTAAAAGCGAATGACTTACAGAAGTTTTTGCAGAAATAATATTTTCATTGTCTACAGTGTACACTAAGTTTTGGTTCTTAAATATATATTTATACTTTTTATATGTGCATTATTTTTTTGAAAACAGAGTCCTTACTGGAAGGAAGCCCTTAACATATTAAAACTAGTGGTCTCTCGCTCTGCAAGTCTCGTTGTGCCCAACGATATCCCCAAGACCTATGGAGGAGATCTAGGTTCTCCTGAAATATCCTTCACCAAGATTTTTAATAGTGTCTCCAAGGAGTTGCCTGGGAAGACCTTAGATTTTCATTTTGATATATCTGAGGTAAGGTGCTCTATTTGAATTTTTCATTTGTTCATTTACTCACTCATCTGACAAGCATTGATTAAGCGCATACTCAGTAGGAGACGTTGTGATAGGTGCTTTGAAATTGGGGTGGGGGTGGTAAAAAGGCCTGTCCTTGGGAAGCATACAATCTCTTGGGTCAGTGGGTAAATAAACATTGTGATAAGTGCTTTAGCTGGAAGTAAGTTAAAAGTACTGTAGGAAGAGGGGCGCCTGGGTGGCGCAGTCGGTTAAGCGTCCGACTTCAGCCAGGTCACGATCTCGCGCTCTGTGAGTTCGAGCCCCGCGTCGGGCTCTGGGCTGATGGCTCAGAGCCTGGAGCCTGTTTCCGATTCTGTGTCTCCCTCTCTCTCTGCCCCTCCCCCATTCATGCTATGTCTCTCTCTGTCCCAAAAATAAATAAACGTTGAAAAAAAAAAAAAAAGTACTGTAGGAAGATACAGCGTGTACCTCTAACCTGATGTGGTGTTGAAAGATAAAGTAGCCCTAGGCAAGCATATATGGAAGCTTGGGAACAGGAGATTAATGCAGGAAAAAGCAGCATGTGTGAATGAAGCCTCGTAGTGTGAGAAAGCATGGTATTCTGGAAATTTCCAATTTGTACCATATCTTGAGCACAGACTATAGAGAATGCAAGTGTAGAGTATGATGGTAGATGAAGCCGAAGGCAGAGGAAGAGGCAAGATCATTAGGGATCTTGCATGCATCATAACAGGATGGTTTTATCTTGAAGCAGTGGGAACTCTTAAAGGATTTTTCACTGGAGTGGAAATTGTAGGATTTGCATTTGGGGAAGTTTACTCTGGCAACAGGATGGAAAAAATAGACCAGGATGGAAAAATAGACCAGGTGGAGAGGAGGAAAGTCAATAAGGAATCTGTTAGAATAATTAAAAGGTCATGTTGGCATGTCTCTAGGCAGTTGCAGAGAAAATGAAAAGAGAAGGGATGGTTTTCAGAATGACCAGTTTTTCGAGAAGGAAGTTACTGAACAACGATTGCAGGGAAGTTGAGAAAGATAAAAATGGAAGACCTAATTTCTTTAATATTATTGATTAGAATCATATAGATTTAAAAAATGTTTTGTTGTTCAGTCTTGGTGTTAGAATTTATCCAAATCTTTATGGGTTGTGTTTTTTAGATAGAAACTATGTTTGTTGCTAATTTTTTAGTTAATATCAGAATTTCTGTCCTGAAGCACATAGTATAAGAATCTGATAAAGAAACCGGGCTTTCCTGTGTCTTCTGAGTCAGAAATTGTAACTTAATTATCTTGTCTAAAGCAGTGATAAGAATTCTCAAAAACACTTGATATACTTAATTTCAATTTGTTGCTTCAAAGATTACTAAGTACATGCTGTGTATAGGCATTGGAGTAGAGGAGCAGAGATGAATCGCACAAGGTCTAGGGGACTCACGTGCACTAGGGAAGACAGCCACGTAAACAAATCACCAACACATGGCAAATGTCCAAGTATAATTACCCAGATGTGTGGCGTCAGAGAAGGCCTCCTTGGAGGTCTGGAGTCCCCATTAAAAGATGACCATGGGTTTGGTTGGTGAATATTCCATTCAAAGGCGGGGGTGGGGGGGGCAGCATGTGCCAAAACACAGGTCCCTAAAGGCAAGGTGTGTTTGGAACACAATAGCAAGTTCAGGTTTGCTGGAGTGTAAAGTGAGGGTGGGTGTGATAGACGTCGAGGTTAGGGAGAGCAGCAGGAACCACGTCATAAAGGAACCGTGTGACATGCAAATGAGCTTGAATACGATTTTCAGATGTAAATTCAAGATGCTTCACAAAGCCAGAATAAATACAGATGAATTGTGGATGAGCATAAAATTTTTACCGAAACAAACTTGGAAATGTTACACATCAGATTTGTAGGGAGAAGCTACATAGATCCCTTCCTCTTTGGAGTTGTTACCCAGCTTGAATATTTGCAAAAGCACATTACTGAAGCACATAGAACAGTATGCATTGAAAAAACACCAAAATGGTAATAGATTAAATCTGAGTGGTAAGATGACAGGTGGTTTTTTGTTTTTTGTTTTTTGTTTTAAATCACTTTAATATTTGCTGAGCTTTCAAAGAGGATATATTTCATAATCATGGTGGGGGATATGAAGGTGGTGGATTTTTGTTTTTGTTTCTGGTTTTTTTTTTTTTTTTGCCTCAAAAAGTGACGTTTAGTCAAAGGGGGAAAAATGAGAAGTCCATCCTTAGGCTCCCTTCCCTCCCTGTTCCTGCTGCTCTTCACCCCCTAAGGACTGAACCTCGGGTAGGGTTAGGTCGCAGGACAGCCCCTCAGATAAGGTCAGCAACACTGAGGGGCATCTCCTCAATGGAGGTGTTGTAGAAGGTCTCAGTGTCTCGAAGAGTCCTCTTGTCTTTTGTCACCATGTTGACAGCCACACTCTTATGGCCAAATCATTCACCACGACCGAGTCCGTGGATGTAGTTTTCCCTGCTGGT